CAGTCGAGAGTTTTATGCTCTCAACTGGCCGGATCACTGTATATGTTAGTATGAGATAATTTAGATTATAAAAAACGACAAACTGTGAAAGCCTTAGCCATTAGATCTCTGGATGTTGCTTTTAAAACTATTTTGATGACCATAAATTTATGTCGTTGTAAATTCCGACCATTATCGACCAATTTCTTAAACTTATATATTAAACTAGGCCTAGGCATGACAAGTATTTGTTAAATTTTAAGTGTTTGTTACTTGGTTTGATTTGTTCAAATAATTGAATTTGTTATTTGTACTTGACAGTTGATTCGGTCAAAACAAATACTCGTTATTTCAAGTACTTGCAAAAAAAAAAAAAAATTACCTCAAATTATTTGACCCGACTTGTTACATAATCACAAATCTTTACTTATCACTTAGAATCTAAAATATTTAATCACTTGAACCTAAAATAATACTTGAAATAAAATAAAATAAAAATCATTTTATACAAAATGATCAATACACGCTCAAACACACATCCAAATTAATATTCTAATAGCAGGCCAAAAAAAAAAAAACAAAAATAAGCATTGAAATAGTGAAAACATTGTTCCAAATAAGTAACAAGTATTTATTTTAAGAGAATTAAACTTTTTTCATGCCGTATATATGGGAATGGTATTTCTATTTGGCTGAAGAGTTTGATGCTTTCGTTTACACTTGGCAAAGACTTCTCAAAAAGTGAAAAAAAAAAAAAAAAAAAAGATAACATTCACGTCGCCTCATCAATTCCGTGACTAAAAACTCAAACGTTACATGAAATGAAACCAACGAGTGTCCTTCAAACTTTCTAAATAAGTATAACTCTAATTTATATACCCACGAGTCCACAAGAATAGATAATAAGTTCACACAATGGATGTGAAAATCAATAATGTAAACTACTACATTGGTGGTCCCTTATCGATTCTGGGATATTGATTTATGCTTCAAAAAAGAAATAAAGTTTTGCATATAGTAAATTGGTAATTGCCTAATTGGCACCATGTTCATGGGCCAACTAGTTCACAGCTAGACCTCACCACAAAATTTAAAAGGGGAAAACTTAGACACACGTTTAAATTATACGAACGAGTTATATATACAGTATGTTTAGATTTTTATAATTAATTACTTATTACCGTAGTTCAGGTTAGCTTTATCGAGATCCTCATGACATATGAGGTTCTGCGTGGAATAAAGCATGATTAGAGGTGCAACGAACCTCGTGACATATTAGGTTATGCTGCATTCCAAGAGGTTGATTTGACTCATGTCAAGCCTCTCAGATCATCATCTAGATTGTGATTTTATTCAAGATTAATTGCTCATAATTTTATCATGATTCAACGTTGCCATCTGATCGTCCATCTTTGTTATCTTCTTACATATTTTTTCAAGAGTTATTAAAGAGAGATTTTTACGGTTTATTTCTTTTTTTCTTTCTCCATCATGTTAAAAAATATAAAACCAATTCAAATTGGCTCGTAAGAGTAAGAAGTAGTGTTGGTTGTACACTTTTCTTTTGCAAAAGTCCATTTACTCTTGAAGGGCACATCCCAGAAATTTAATGATAATTTGTTTCTAGTTGACAATAAAAACGTGAATTATATTTTTTAAATTATATATTGATTTGTAAAAACATATATAAAAATATAACTACTCGCATAGAGTATGATTAGTAGACAAATCCTATAGAAGGAGGACAGTTTTTAAAACCACGACAAAAGGATATTAAGAAAAAGACGACAGAACTTCATTTTGTCAACTAGAAAACCATTATAAGTAAACCATTATAATTATTATTAACACAGATAAGGTTTCATAAGTATAGACAAAAGCTGGATTACGTAAGTCAAACCCTCTCCAAAGCCTTCGCTGTCTCCATTTTCTTAAATATAGTTTTGCTCTTTCTTTCGATTCTCTATATATATATATGCTAAAAAATATTGTTACGATGAACAAAATTCATTGTATAATTAAATCAGAGATAATAAAATTTGCAGTTAGGAAAAAAACATATGCCTCGGATGAGAAATCGATATCAATATGTGTTTTAACAAATTAATAAAGTGAAAAACATAGTTTTTTTAGTCATAAGGTTATTGGGGTGTGTATACATGCGTTGCGTAATTGTCAAATTTTAGGAAATCCTAAAATTATTAACGATTTCTCTTATTGATCAGTGTTAAGGTTTTGCCTTATACAAAACATTAGACCTAATTACATGTTGTTAAATTGCTAAAGTATAGTCTATACAATATCAATATATTTCGTAGGAAGTTTATTAGGAATATGACATATTTTTTTTTGTAGTGAGGGAGCATCTATTCCTTCTCAAATAAATTGCAAAAAGTATACAATGTAATCAGCTAACTATTACAGAGACTGTATCGTTCAATTTTAATCGATATTTGTCATTTCAAAGATCTCCCAACAATAATCATAAGGGTCTCTAGTCACAATAATTAAAATTAAAATTTATATAACGAAGAGAGTAGTAGCCTTTTACTCTACTAGTTTTTTTTGGAATTTTCTAAAAGCTTGTGCTATATGGGACTTTACCGCCATGTAAATCCAAATCACAAATTTGTAATGACATCAATGTCGTATGTCGGTCATATTCACGGATTCAACTTGTGCGATTGCATTATTTTGTGTGCTATGTATAATTGTTTGTATTTACAGAGAGATTCACCTGTAAACGGACAAAGGAAATAGAGATTCACATATTCAAATTCAGATTATGGCTTCATCATTTGATCAGTCGAAGCTTTTTTTTTTTGTTGGATTTCTACACAAAATATATTTCAAAAAAATTGCATTCTCACAATACCATACGATCGTTACTATTTCAGTTCAAATTGTTAAAATAAAAAATTCTACAATCGTTAGTTTTAATAACAAAAATATGAAAATGATTAAAAGACAAAACACCTCAGTCCTCAGAAATCCAGTCCCACTAACATTACGCGTGTCATCACTTTCTTCCATATCATAGATTTTTATGTAATTATTAGTTCATGGATTTTTTGGATCGAAATAATTAATCGTACAATATTTTTTTTTGAGAAAAAAAATAATCGTATAATTGCTTTTACGTTTGTACAAACTTAGACAATTAGATAAGTCGAGCCCACTTTAGTATTGTTGCCCAAATTGCATAACAAATAATTAATTTCCAACGACAAAAACCCTTCCCATTCCATGAAACGATGCAACCTCATCCGCAGATTATTTATGCTTTTGGCTTGGTTAACTTTTATCTATAAGAAATGACTCAAGAAATTATGGCAACTCACGGCTAAATTTCGTTCAAATATTCAAGAAGATCGAATTTCATTGTTCAGAACAGAACATCTTCACTCCGGCGACTTCATCCGACTAAAACATCTGATTTGCTGGAAACACCATTTTCCTCTTGCGAGTCATTACCACAGATTGATCCTCCCGATGTCTAGAGGATTTTAGTTCAGGCTATCTTTTAGTTTATTGTAAAGCAAAAGTTTATGACCCAAAGTATATAATACTGGATGTATCCATTTTTTTAAAGAAGTTAATGAAACCTCAAATGTTCAAAAAGTTAATGAAAACTCTTTGATGAAAAAAGAAGATATAACTAGAGTTGTGGGAGTAGACTGTAGCGGGAATCATATTCCTATTAGTGGAACCAAGAGGCAGAAAAATTATTTACATGAGTCATAATATACATAAATTTTAAATTTTAGGGAATTAATTCATGTTTTGGACCTAAAAGATGGGTCAATTGCTAGCTGGTTCCGCCACTGACTGGAACAAAGAGAGTCGCTTCATGGAGATGCATCTTCACAAGGAGTCGAGGGTGATGACACTGATGATGAGTTGATGACAAATCAAACCAACTAAAAAAAATGGAATAAACGCGGACGAGGAGGCTGTGGTAGCCCGTGGCAAAAATAAAGAAAGAAATGATATAGCTAAAGTTTATTTTGAGGTAATTATAGTTATCTAGTTTTAGTTTCAACTCTCCGACGACAAACAAAAAGAAGATATAAGTAGTTTAATTTGATTTCTTAAAAACCGAGGTTGAATTTAAAGTCATGAGCTAGCTTTATCACCGTCCAATGGAAAAGGTCGACGAGTTTTTATGACGCGCAGCTGCATCAGTGCAAAGCCTTTTGGGAATTTAAAATATTTGGTTATATGTTTGACTTTCGGCTTATAGTATATATAGAGTTAGTGTAAGAACCTAAAACTATTTTTAGGTATATGCAAACTCTAACAATTGTTTATATGTTAAATATGACTTATATCTATGTATATTTGCGCAAACTATAAATATGTTTTTAGCTACTTACATTATTTCTGATATGAGGCCAATATTCAATAGATGATTTTTTTGAATTATTTTAGCTACTTACTTGCATGATTTTTGTGATTTTTTTGTTTCTGAGTCCGCTAACAAGACATTACTAGGTGAAATGTTTTGATTATTAATCACTATAATATTTTCATTTGTCTTTTATTTTGGGTTAAATACCATTTTCTTTCACACCAATTATGGATTTCTATTTTTAATTTCAATTTTAACAATTCAGCATACATTTATTTCTAGGAGTATATGTTACACTCTTTCTTTTTCGGTTTTGAAGTAAATATTCGTTTTCTATATAAACGATGTATCAAGAAATTTATACACGTTCAAAGAAAAAACTGTCCAATACAGCTATAGTTATAGTCTTATACTAATATTTATACTTAAACTATGAGATAGAATATAATCATTACATATTATTAAAAAATTACTAGAATTATAAAACAAAACCATCATACTTACAAAAGAATCAATAAGTCTTTTTTTCTCAAAAAAATAAAACAAAAATCTATATAAAACAAAAATAAATAAAAACATAAATCATCAGTAATAGTGGAATTGCAAAAAAAAAAAATAATCATACATTATAATATATATAGGAGTGGAAGGAGGAGATCGTTTGTCTTCTCTGTCTTGAAAATATTATTAAGAAGCGAAAAAATAGAAACAGAAAAGATTTTAATTTTTTTTATTTAGTGTCGGTGAATTCCGAAACCTTCTCTTATATCTTCTCCTCACGTCTTTAAACTCTCCTCGCTCCGCATGTAACCGCCTCGCCGTCAATTTCCATCAGATCTCTCTTTCTTACGATTTTTTTTTGTTTAATTTTCTCGAGAAAAAATCAGATCGCGAGAAGAAGAAAACGTCGATGATTCCGTGAAAAATTTCTCGAATTTTTGTTTTTTTTTTGATTTTTTTCGGAGGCGGTTATGGAGACGGGAGCGAAAGTAACGGCGGTGACGGCGACGGTTACGGCGGCGATGGCGACGAGGAAGAGAGATCTCAAGCCGTACAAAGGAATACGTATGAGGAAGTGGGGAAAGTGGGTGGCGGAGATTAGAGAACCGAACAAGCGATCGAGGATCTGGCTCGGTTCTTACTCTACGCCTGAAGCGGCGGCGAGAGCTTACGACACCGCCGTTTTATGCCTCCGTGGTCCTTCGGCGAGGCTTAATTTCCCGGAACTTTTGACCGGAGCCACGGTTTCAAACGGCGTTGGAGAAGGAGATATGTCGGCGGCGTATATAAGGAGAAAAGCGGCGGAGGTTGGTGCTCAGGTGGATGCGCTTGGAGCGACGGTGGTTGTGAAATCCGGCGAGAGTATTATCGGTGATTACGAGGATAAGGAGAATCGTGACGGAGTTAAGAGCGGTAACGGGTCATTGGAACGGGTCGATTTGAATAAATTACCCGACCCGGAAAATTCGGATTGCTGACGAGTGGGTGAAGAGAAGATGAAGGCCAAAAAAATTAAAAAAAAAAAAGTAGTTGTAGAAGGAGAATGTTTGTCTCTATGATGCGCAGTGATCACTAACTTACGCATCGATTTTTTTCCTTAGTTTAATAATCATCTTCATGTTTTGTTGTTTTCATCCTCGGGCAAAAAAATAATTTAAACCCAACTCTTAAAATTTGTCACTTTGCAAATACATTCCAAGTGATCAATTTAACTATGATAACTTGACGATTGCATAAGTTTTCATGGGTAATTTTTTGTTTTCTAGGCTATTTTTGAAAGAGACATGTGATTAAAAATATTTATTTGATTAACAAGAGACAAATCAAGAAGAGATGAGTAATAAGAAACTAGTTAAGAGTAGTCATAACTCTTCCTAACAAAGCGTTTAAAAAACTGCTATTTAGTATTGTAGAGGACTAGAAGTATCATTGCACATAACCCAAAATTGATTTTTGTTTTTTTGTGTTCTTTAAAAATAACATAGTTCATAATTATTTTGAGTAACTATTGAGCTGGATTTGCTACTACTTTATAATAAAGCAAGAAGATGCAAAAGATAACTCAATCGGGCAAAATCAATTTTGTTCAGTGGTTGTGGATGAGAATTTGATGTGAAAGAAACTAGAAAGTGAGAGCGTTGCAAAATTGTGAAGGTTGGTGCAACTTTGTCCCATCCCTAACAACTAAAGCTCTAAAATTATCGTAACCACTAAAAGTGATTTGATGGGTTTTTGAGGATTTTAATGTCGGTACCAAATTTACAGGTCGATTTCTTCGCAAATTCAGTTTTTGGGAGGTTTTTTTTCGTTGGGCAGAAGTGGTCGGCAAGATTCTTTTATTCTGTTTTTTTTTTTTTTTTCTTGTAGCCATTGGCAAATTCTAAAACGTGAAAAGTGAGGAACGTACGGTTTTATACAACGGGTGATGTGTGAAACTAAAGATTGAACACAAGTCTTGTGACCACAAAACACAATACAAACATTTTTTCAGACATGTTCCGTGTGATCCCACAAGTTCGAAAGGAAAGAAAAAATAAGAAAGAATCGAGAAAGTAATAACTGAAAGTGAAAATTCGGTTTATGATTTTTCTTGACTCCAAAATTCAAACATAGTTTCTTGTGTCTCATGATGAGCCTCTGACGTTGCTGCGATTACTTTCTTTCTAGGAATATTCAATCCAAATTTTTGTTAAAAAAAAATTGAATAACATTAAAAAACCGACTTTCATTTTCACTGTAGAAAAATGAACATAAAACAGTAAAAGATTAATGCAAATGGTAGCTCAACAATATATGCAAAATTCAGTAGCAAGGCATACAGATATTTTGGTTGAACCAAAGCAAGAAGTACCGTAAAAGAGAGTACAAACTTTGGTTGATAAACAAACCAAAGAAAGACGAAAGTTTATTTTGCTTTTATTAATCAAAAGTATGGTTAGATGAAGAATCAAATACCACAAAGAATCTGATAACCTAAACCCATCCATCCAATAAATAGAAGCTGGTTCTGCAAAAAGACAGAGACAAGTGCACTTACACAGTTTTCAGTAAATGAAATCCTCATTACATAGCCTCATTACATGCAATTACTTGACACAGTGTCTCAAAAGCTTCCTCGGTGTTCTTATTGTGTAGCTTTTGTGCCCTGCATTGAAAGCCATGAAAAATATCCAGGATGCTCTTTAAGTCAATGGAAAAATGATACAAGAGCATCACAAGATGTGAATACAGGAGAAATATTTTAATAGAACTCTTAACACAACAACATTCATCACAAAATAAAGAAACTTAAATGAACTGTTATGATTGTATATGGTCATAAATCTAGCATTGATAGTCAATTAGATTAGACTGAAAAGTGAAGAACATAACAAAAGGTTTAGGATTTCAATCCATAATAATCACAGATCCATGGTGAGAATCGGAATAATGAATGCATATGACAAACAATATGAACAGAGGGCCGGTATGGAGTTCTCAGTACTTCCACTGCCTATGAACAAAGCATAGATGTTCAATAAGATTTCAGGTGAGTGTCAAGAAGCTTTTGTTTTCCATTTCACAGTGGGCAAATTCATTAGTTTATTATGCAACCCAATGTGTATCAAGTAGCTTTCTTGTTCAACTAACAGCATAGATCAAAGGGAAAACTCATCTTATCTGAGTTATCTCAAAACAAAAGAAACCAAATACATGAAACAATCACCATGAGCGTTCCACCGACGGATCTCAATACAGGAAGTCTCATGATTTGGTCATACATATTCAAAAAAAGCGAGATACTATAAACTGCTTTCGAAAAGGACAAATAGAAGTGCACACTAAGCAATTACCGATCGCCATCTATTCACAGGAAAAGAATCTGATTCTATCATCCAAGATCGCTTTCTGAGCTGTCGACAAATGAAAAAGACAAGAAAGATAAAGTGATAAAAGCTGTGTCTTTAGAAATAACAAACAAGCACACACCCTTAGACATTCCTTGTAGATGTCTTATATAAGTCCAATGCTTACTACTACTTGTTCTCTTCTTCAATGTTAAGATTCATAAAACCAAAGTGCTACGTCTCCTTGCCTCAACACCAAAACTCTTTACTTCACTTCTCGTCACAATCACGAAAGTCCAATGCTTAGTTACTAGTCTTCTTCAGTGTTAAGATTCATAAAACCAAGTGCAAGTTCACTTCTTTCCTCCACTTCTTGTCAATTCTCTGGTTAATATTACAGCACTTTACACAGCATACTTCAAGGATTAGACACTCAAAAATTTCCGAAAATCAGAACAGATATTTTCAATTTTGAAGAGTCAGCATCCAGCAAAATCACAACTTTTACAAATGTTACGAAGCTAAAGAGATTTGTTTGACCAAATTTGGAAAAATTTGATAGTAATCCTCAAACTCGGAATCATAGAATAGAATCGAAAACAAGAATAAATAATCTAGAAAATTCCCAATTCGAGCTCGAGAAAACACAGACACATCGTTCCGAGAGAAATTACCGGAGATGAATTCGTAAAAAAACGGCGACGGCGGCGGAAGCGGAAGGTCTCTTCGACGGCGGAGCAAGCATGGAACACACAACACAGTCACGAGATGAGCACGTGAGATATGATGGGCCCCATCGTTACTTCTTTGTAAGAATCAGACGGCTGAGAAATAAAACATGACTGTTTCTTTTAAACCGTGGAAAAATGAGTTTTTTTGTAAGAGAAAAGAATCGGACGGCTGAGAAAAAAGCAAAAAATAAGAGAATTTTATTTTATTTTTTAACCTGGCTAGGGTTTTCGAAGCAAAAAGAATCATTCTCACACACAGTTGGTGAGAGACTTGACCAACTATATAAACTCAGCTTTTCTCCATCACTATCCGCTGCGGTATCGCCGTGCTGCCCACAAATCTCCGACTTCGTCTTCGCCATCGTCGTCGTCCTAATTTATCTCTAATTATCCCTTAAAAACCCAAAAAAACAAAAAAAAAGCCTCCTTTTTCTCTTTGTTTCCTTCTCTTCAATCCCTTATCAGAAAAATGGCGCAGGTTCAGGCTCAGGCTCAGGCCAATTCCTCACATTCATCTCCGGTTACTGTCGGAGAAGGGACAGTGGCTTCTGGCGGCAGCGACGGAGTGAATCACGGTGCTATGTGTTCGCTCTACGTCGGAGATCTGGATTTCACTGTGACTGATTCTCAGCTCTATGACTATTTCACCGATGTTTGTCAGGTCGTATCTGTTCGTGTTTGCCGTGACGCAGCCACCAATACTTCTCTTGGATATGGTTATGTCAACTACAGCAATAGCGAAGATGGTTGGTTTAGTGCCCTTAAATTTCCCCCCTTTTGTTGATATAACATTCGACATTATGCTTTTACGATCTAAATTAACCATTTTTTGGAGAATCTGAGTGATGGGTATTGCGTCGATGAACTGTTTGATTTGTTTTTAGCTACCAATTTGCGATTTTTGTTTGTATTGATTATGAAATGGGTCGAAAATTATGTTACTTTGCCTCTAATTTGCAGTTTTAGGGGGTTTTGTTATCTTCTTGTTTCTTTGGTTTGAGACTTTTTTGCGTTTTTGTAATGACAGCGGAAAAGGCATTGAATAAGTTGAACTACACTACTCTCAATGGGAAGATGATTCGGATTACTTACTCTTCTCGTGACTCTTCTGCTCGTAGAAGTGGGATTGGAAACTTATTTGTTAAGGTATTTTTTCTTTTGAGCTCTCTATTGTAAATTTGTTGTGCAGCTTGTGTTCCTTTTTGATGATGGTTAATTCTGTTTTGGGGTGTTTTCTCAATGTGAAGAATTTGGACAAGTCAGTTGACAACAAGACTCTGCACGAGACGTTTTCAGTGTGTGGAAGTATTGTGTCCTGTAAGGTTGCTACTGATCACATGGGTCAGTCCAAGGGGTATGGTTTTGTGCAGTTTGAGAGTGAGGATTCAGCTAAAAACGCTATTGAGAAGCTGAATGGGAAAATGCTGAATGACAAGCAGATTTTTGTTGGACCTTTTCTCCGGAAGGAGGAAAGAGAGTCTGCTGCTGATAAGATGAAGTTTACCAATGTTTACGTGAAGAATCTGTCGGAAACCACAACGGATGATGAGCTGAAGACGACTTTTGGTCAGTATGGTAATATTTCAAGCGCTGTGGTTATGAGGGATGGAGATGGGAGATCCAGGTGTTTTGGATTTGTCAACTTTGAGAATGCTGAAGATGCAGCACGTGCTGTTGAGGCCCTCAACGGGAAGAAGTTTGATGATAAGGAGTGGTATGTAGGTAAAGCTCAGAAGAAATCCGAGAGGGAACTTGAGTTGAGCAGAAGATATGAGCAAGGCTCAAGGGAGACAGGAAACAAGTTTGACGGTTTGAATTTGTATGTTAAGAATCTTGATGATACTGTCACTGATGAAAAGTTGCGCGAGCTGTTTGCCGAGTTTGGTACAATTACTTCCTGCAAGGTAGGAATTGTTGCTTTGCGCGTACATACTAACCATGAGAAAGTCATATTTTTGTCTATTGATTGATTTGAATCTCTTACTTTTAAAACAAACAGGTTATGCGAGACCCTAGTGGTACTAGCAAAGGATCAGGATTTGTTGCCTTCTCAGCTGCCAGTGAAGCATCTAGAGTGGTAATATAAATTATCTTGCCTTGAGACATTACTAAGCTGTTTTGAATCTCTAGATTCTTTCTTCATGTATATGCTTTTGTGTTTTTTTGCAGCTGAACGAAATGAATGGTAAAATGGTTGGTGGCAAACCGTTGTATGTTGCTCTTGCACAGAGGAAGGAAGAAAGAAGGGCTAAGCTGCAGGTAATACTTCCCACCATCAATGAACAACCTAAAAGCTGGTACTTTAGTTTGACCCTTCATCATATATCTCTTATGGTCTTGTTTCAGGCACAGTTTTCCCAAATGAGACCTGCCTTTATTCCCGGTATGGGTCCTCGTATGCCAATATTCCCAGGTGGTGGTCCAGGTATTGGCCAACAGATTTTTTACGGTCAAGGGCCTCCACCAATCATCCCTCACCAGGTACCACTTTTTTCTGATGCTGAGATTTGTTTCATTGGATGTTCCTTGAACATGTATTTTGAAATCAATAACAACTCATCTGAGTTACTTAAAAATCTGTGATAGGCTGGATTTGGATATCAGCCTCAGATGGTTCCTGGAATGAGGCCAGGCTTTTACGGCCCGATGATGCAGCCAGGTCAGCAAGGTCCACGACCAGGTGGCAGACGGTCAGGTGATGGACCCATGCGCCATCAGCCTCAGCAACCAATGTCCTTTATGCAGCCACAGGTTAGTTAGTGCTTAGACTAAAAGTAAAACATGGCATCAAATCCCGGGTCAAGATGATTCTCTAAGCTCTTGTTTTGCTCTCTTCTCTCGTCTAGATGATGCCAAGAGGACCTGGGTACCGTTACCCTCCTGGTAGAAACATGCAGGACGGCTCAATGCCCGGAGGAATGGTTCCAGTTGCTTATGACATGAATGGAATGCCTTTTCCTCAGCCTATGCCCGCTGGTGCATTGGCTTCTTCCCTTGCTCAAGCCTCACCTGCTCAGCAGAGAACAGTAAGTCTCTCTCAATACGTAGTCTTTTTCGAATCTTGTGGTCTTGGAGAAGTTCACTTACATTCTCTGTTTCATTTTGGGTTTGTATAGCTTCTAGGTGAGAATCTATACCCATTAGTGGATCAGATAGAGCACGAGAACGCTGCCAAAGTGACCGGTATGCTTCTGGAGATGGATCAGACTGAAGTTTTGCATCTGCTCGAGTCACCGGAGGCTCTAAATGCTAAAGTTTCAGAAGCATTGGATGTGTTGAGAAACGTGAACCAGCAGCAATCGCAGGTGAGTGAAGGCAAGAGTGGAAGCCCAAGTGATCTCTTGGCTTCTCTTACCATTAATGATCACTTATGAGAAGCTTTTTGTCGGAGTTTTACTTTTAACTCTCTCCCTCTCTCTCTCTCTCTCTCTCTCTCTCTCTTGATTGACAAAATTTTTGCGGGAATTGATTTTGCCTTTTAGACTTTTTTGCTCGATATGATTGTTTCTGTTTTGACTTGACTTGAAAGTATGGTTTTATTTTTGTTGGATAATCTCTACCTTTGCGAATTTGCGACTGGTGAAAGTCTTTAATGATTGGGGTTTTATTTATCTTAGGAAAAATGTTTGTCAATGGTCGGTTACATAGCACTTCCCTACGTAACGTGAACGTCACGGTTCTTGTCTAATTTGGGAGAGAACCTTAGTTTCTGATGAATCTCTAGTTTCATATTTGGTCTTCACTTGTTCGTCCTGTACAATTGATATGGAGCTAAGCAAATCACTCACCAATGAGCCAGATCATCATCATCTGTCAAGATCCCATAACACATCCTCCATGCTCGGCTTCTCTCTTCCGTCATTCTTCAGACTTTTCTCTGCGAGTTCCATGAACTTCCTCGAAGAATTCGTCTCGACTTTCCCTGTCAATATCGGATCTACGATTTCATCGATGATCCCTTTGTGAATTTGTGGCACATAGCTCACGCTGCTAGATTCACTTCCTTGCTAGGAAGATAACTGTTGAGAGCCGGTCTTGCGCACAAGACCTCGAGGAGAATAACTCCAAACGCGATACATCTGATCTCTTTGTCAAGATGTGTGTCTGCACATACTCGTTTTAGCTGTCTGGTAGACAAAATCAGGAGCGGTGAATGATGATGCTGACCCTGACCCTGACTCGTAGTTAAGCTTTTGTGTTGATTGAACGTTTCTTGAAGAATCATTTTGGTAGAGAAAGTCATCGTCTAATGACCAAGTTCGTCCCAAGGTGTCGTTTTCTTGTCGAGTCTGAAGGGATTATGAGGTCATTAGGATTAGAGAACACTTCAATGTCGTAAATGAAAGCCATGGATGATTGATCGGGCACGAATCGGATTTTGAGTTCGGGCTTGTGGGGTCTCGGTGAGATTCTGAAGTGAGAAACTTTTCAAGCGAGGATTAGCAGAGACAGTGAAACGAGCAGTTAAAAGCTCTGTTCGAGAAGAGACAGGAGAGAAATGGAGACGCACGAAGTGTAGACCAATGAAATCGAGCTGGAACTTGTAAGAAGAAGGGATTGTGAAGATCCTAACCGTTTCGTAGATTCCTGATCCTGATTGGTTACCACCGGAGGACATTTCTCCGACAAAAGTCCGGTCACTGTAAGTGACATTAGAATCTGATCCACAATTGTCGTAACACTTGTCGGGACGAGAATATGTAGAAGAAGCAGAGAGAGTGAGACGCGGAAGAAGAAGAGCGATAACTAATTAACTACCATCGTTACAAAGAGAGAAACAGAGTCTCGGAAACAGAGATTCTCCATAGCTTTGATGGAGAGTGTGAACAGTGAAAGCCAAGTATTTGAGGTCGACGTGAAGAAGATTTTGAGTATCAACTATAATTACTTTTGTGTATCACAATTATAATTACTGTGTATCTCTTTAGTATCTCGTCTCTTTAGGAAATGTACAAACAAACTTTTTATCATCATCTCTGTTCTTGTAGCAAAGAAGATGAGATTGAAGGAGAAAGAAAGAGAGTATTGAGATTAATGGTGAGACAATATGGAAGGAAGTCACTTTGCTGAAATTGGAACGATACATACAAGATCAGCATCGTCATTCGAGAAATAAATCAATTTTTTTAAGCTTAAAAAAGAAAAATATGGAGTCAAAACAATCTACTTTTATATGTTTTTAAAAACATTTCTATGATAATTAATTATTGTTGACCAAGGTTTCCATGTGACAATGTTTAGAGTAGATCATGATTAAAGGTTTCATGGGACAAAATTTTTTTATATAAAAGGTTATGTTTGCGGTAAATTTAAATTCACCAGAAAAACAAAAACCCATTATTAATTTACCAAACTTGAAATCAATAAGGAAAAGTGAAATCGTTAATCCAAAACGTTAGAAAACGTGGACTGGTTTAAAGCAAACGCGGCCACATCTCCTCCTCTTCTCTTGTGTGCAGCAAAGTTTAGCTTCCATTGTGATTTCAAACTCCAAAGTCGACACCTTTTGTTTTCTCTCCACCATGAAAAGAAAGAGAGGGAAGGTCGCAGATGATAGCATAAGAACATTTCACTACAATACTCGATCCTCTTCGAGTCGCAATGAAAGCAGAGCAACCTCTGACACTGACAGAGTCGAAACCAGCAACGCAATCGTGGAATCGACATCGGCGTCGCTTAGGGTTACGAAACAGAGGAAGAAGATTTCAGATGACCGGAGAACAATCTCAGATCTGGTTCCGATTGATGTAATAATGGAGATACTCAAACGATTACCGGTCAAAACCCTAGCGAGGTTCCTCTGCGTGTCAAAGCTCTGGGCTTGCACCATCCGCCGCCGAGATTTCATGAAATTGTTCCTCACCGAGTCTTCTAATCGACCGGATCGTCTCTTCATCACCTTCCAGCGTGAAGACAATAGACAAGATGGCTTCTTTTACTCGTCCCATTTAACCCGAAATCAAGGTGAAGCTTCTGTAGCTACTTACCAAATGAAGCACCTTTCATATAAGCTCACAACCGAATCTCCATCTGTTCATGGTCTGTTTTGTTATAGAACTATTTGTGGCTTTGGGCTTGCGGTCTACAATTCAAGCACCAGAAGATGCATCACATTACCCCAATTCGAACACCAAAGTTATATCATTCAACATTTGTTGGGCTATGATCCTATTGATGGTGTTTACAAAGTCTTGTGTTTGACCAAACCAAGAAGTTTCTTCCATACAGCAGAACGAGAACCTGTTTTTCAGGTGTTGACACTTGGGAATGAGAAGAGTTCGTGGAAGGTGATTGAAAACAGTCATCCTCACTTACCTTTCAAAAGCCAGATATGTATCGATGGTGTTGTGTATTATGAAGCTAAGGTTGGCACAGAGCGTAAGGAAGTTGCAGTCATGAGTTTTGATGTTAGGTCTGAAAAATTCCATGTTATCAAAAGACCTGCCCTTTCTATAATTAGTCGAACCATGATAAGGTATGAGGGGAAGCTAGCCATCGTGGGCGGTCTAATTCCTGTTAATGGTAGTGTTGATTTGTGGGTTTTGGAGGATGCAGTGAAACATGAATGGTTGAGGAAGACTTTTGTTTTGCCTCATTTGTGGACAAATTTACAGGACACAAGAACATCACTACCTGGGCTTCATCGGTTCATTGATGTCACTGACGCGGGTGAGTTTCTTTTGGCACCAATTTTATTGTGGGTACCACTTCCACCATATTATGTTCTCTATTATGATCCAAAAAGAAACAGTATGAGAAAAGTTGAGACAGAAGGAATCACAGAGCATAAGCTGCTACGATATAAGAAAGGATACAATCGTTATCTGTTCCATGTCTTCTCTAGTCAGGTTGAGAGTCTCATGTTTCTCTAAGATCCAGTAAGCAATGATGGTTTTGTTTTTCATCTTCAATGTTAAGTTAGAGTTGCTCATCTCTGTTGACTTACCTCGTCTAGCTTTTGTTCTTCCTTTGTGGTTACTTGGGAGGTTTGATGATCCTTGTCTTTTAAGACCACAGTTTGTTTATGTTAATTATCTACTCTTTATCTTTGGTTGCTATTGTGTTTTTAGTGTTCTTCTTAAATTCTGAACCTAATTGATAAAGCATAACAAAACGTACTTACAAAAGAGTTCTACTTCATATTGAGTTGCTTCTGAAATACACTCCAGGAATAGCATGTCTCTTTGTAAGTTTAGGGATGCTTGATTCAGTTTTCTGATTTAAATTTTGCTCAGAAGATACTCAAAATGCTTGAAGAATAAAATTGTATCTTGAACTAGGCGAGCTTACAAGTTACATATGATGTAGAGAAAACACATATAAAAATATGTTGGAAAGAAAACTTTTATGAAGAAAGCTTAAACAATTTTTTATTATTTATGGTGATAATAATGGGAAGTATTAGTGATAAACATTGTACAAAAAGAAAACACGTGTTGAACATGATAAGGGACAATGACACACGTGCAACATGTGTTGCAAGAGTTGAAGAGTTGTCGCCGGCAAAGGCGAGATTGCTTATATCGAAACGCAAACGCCGCTAAATCTCTCTCTTTACTTCGTCTTCTCTTATGTGCAGCAAAGTTTACTTTTTTGTTCATAGTGATTTCAAACTCCAAAGTCGACACCTTTGGTTTTCTCTCGACCATGAAAAGAAAGAGAGCGAAGCTCGCAAACCCGAAATCAAGAAGGTGAAGCCTCTGTAGCTACTTACCAAATAACTCATCCTTCATGTCTGGAGACAATGGATTCTCCATCTGTTCATGGTCTGTTTTGTTATAGAACTATCTGTGGCTTTGGGCTTGTGGTCTACAATTCAAGCACCAGAAGATCCATCACATTACCCCAATTCGAACACCAAAATTATGTCCTTCAACACTTGTTGGGCTATGATCCTATTGATGGTGTTTACAAAGTCTTGTGTTTGACCAATCCAAGAAGTGTTTCCAAGAAAGCAGAACGAGAGCTTGTTTTTCAGCTGTTGACACTTGGGAATAAGAAGAATTCGTGGAAGGTGATTGAAAACAGCGATCCTCACAACAGTGATCCTCACTTTCCTTTTGGTTGCCAGATATGTATAGATGGTGTTGTGTATTATGAAGCTAATCTTAGCACAGAGGAAGTTGCAGTCATTAGTTTTGATGTTAGCTAGGTCTGAAAAATTCCATGTTATCAAAATACCTGGAGATGCCTATTCTCTGTTTGTTCTTCCGTTGTACTTTTGGGAGGTTTCTTGATCCTTGTCTGTATCCTTGTCTGTATTGGCGACAGTTTGTTTTTGGATAAAATATTTGGGAATATTCAACCAAACTTCTCAGTGAGCTTAAGTAAGCAACTTCGGATTCTTAGTAAAGTTTGACAATGTTTTGTAAAATATTTTTCATCTTAGATGTGGGTTTCTCTTAATTTTTTCCTGTCTAAATGACTCGCATCTCAAGTTTATTTTTGAACCATCTTAATTTTTTGCATTACTAATAGCATTACTAACAAATATTTGATAATGTTTATTTTTTTTTCTTTTCTACACCATTCTATCAATATTCAATTTGATTCTTCTGATGTTTTTCATTTATATCTCTATTCGATTTATACTTATAAATTATATCTGGCTCTAACCGCATTTACCAGGCCACGTAAATAAAATCTCTAAAAGAGAAGTTAGAAGAGAATCTGGTCAGAAAGTTTGATTAAAAATTAAAGTAGAGTGAAGTGACACTAATTTGCGACTGATGAGTGATCTTCTTAGAGCTCGAAAGCAAGTTTTGGAGTAATGTTAATACATATACAAAGACTGATCACCTAAAACTTAGTTGGCTAATTACATCTTTAATTGGACCCATCATGAAGTCCTTTCTAAACAAAGAAGGTGTATGCTTGCTAATGAAGCGATTTAGCAAATGTTACTGTTTTAAGGGAATATTAAGCCAATATTAGTTAAGGCTCCTCCCTCTAAACAAAAAACTTACAAAAAAGTAGTACTTTAAAGGAGAAGTACATATTATAATTGATTATGTTTTTTTTTCATAATGGTGAATTAAATAGTTGTTGTTAAAAATGAGAAGTGGTGGTGGGGATGTATTGAACTAAACATTTTAAATGGTCTGCTTTTTGTTGAAATTTTTAATGATTGTGATGATTGTAGGTGAACTTAGGGACACTAAAATTTGTTATTAATATTATCTGCTGATTTTTTTGAACTTTTAACCAAAAACTCTTCTAAAACAACTTAAAATCATTAACGATAAACCTTATAATATTTATAATGATATGGATTTGAATGACTTTTTCAAATAACTTGTTCCATTACATTAGACTTTAAGAGATATATACAAATATTACAAACAATAAGATTTTATTTTAGAAGACTTCATAAAATTCATGATTGAAGAAATATATATATATATATATATATTACACAAATCATTCCAAATTAAATGCTTGATTGAATACACCTCCTGAAATTTTATAAAATGTTAAGAGCATTAACTACAATAGTCTTATTAATTTCTTAACAATCATTCGGGAAAGTTTAATTATTGAATAAGCTCCTATCACAAAATTATTTACGGAGTTAGGTTTCATGACTCACCAAATTATTCTAATCATATTTATGAGATATAAAATATCGAAGACAGCAGTAATACGAATTATTTTACAACTCTCAAGACAGAGATGGTGAGGTAAACTACAAAAGCACTCTCAAAGTTGATTAGTTTGCACACTTATCTTAATTAATTATTCATCAAGCATAAAGCATTCCTAGTAGTTAAGAAAAAGAATTAGTATATTATAAGCTTAACGTTTTAAAATATTAGAATTCCAAGGTCCACTTGTAGGATTAAGCATTACTACAAATCACTTTTGAATAAAAATAAAAAGTATTAGTAGTTAATTATCAGGTTAAATTTTCTTATAAATATTAGAATTCCGAGGTCCATGAAATTCATAACATGTTTACCTTTAAATAATCCAAATTAAATATTTATATTAGCCATTTAAATAATCTCGTACGATCCAACGTTCATTAAGCGTACGTGGCCCATTTCGATCAGATCCTACCCGACACATCCGCTATCTCTCTACAGTCTTTCACTCTCTCTCTCTCTAAACTCTCACACTAAACGGTCCCTCTCTCTCTACAGTTGTTTTCGAGTAATCTAAACTTTGCCAAACAGTCCCTTTTCTTCCTTAACCTTTCATTTGTCATTACCTCTATGTTTCTTTGTCCTCTTCACTCGTCTTCTCTAGCTAATCTTCTCTATTTTTTTTATAATCTCCATTGTTGTTTCCTCGAAACGATCTGAGTGTGATGCGGGTAAATTTGGCTTTAAGGTGAGGAATTTTTTTGTTTTTTTCTGTTGGTTTTAGGAAATCTTTTGTCTTTTGTTTCTATTTTCATGGGCATTCTCAAATCTTCTTAATGTGGCTAAAAAAAATCTGACTTTATTGTTTCTCTTTTATCCAGAAAGTGTGATTCGTCATGGGTTTCTATTAAAGTCTTCAACTTTATGAACTGTTTCCTTTTTTTTTTGTGTGTGTGTACTGCATGTAGAAGCCATTGTTGGAGCTAGCTCAAGCTTTCTCTTTATGCATCCAAGGATATTTGTTATACTGATTTGGGATTTTTTTTAGAGGTTTTGTTTTGTTCTTCACTTTCAATCTGGATTTGAGTCCCATTCACTTGTAAATGTGGGTCCATTTGAGAAATGTGGGATCGGATAAATCAAACAAAACAAAATAATCTGAGCTTTGTTTTCAGGTTTTGTTTATGCAAATGAGGAGGAAGTAAATGTCTTTCTGTTTGATTTCTATGTTATAGGATATTGTCAAAAATTCAAGAGTAGTTGTGTGGCTTGTGGGGTAATAAATGGACCATAAAGCATGGCCTTGGAAGAAGAAATCAATGGAGGAAGCAGTTGTCGAAAGTAATGGCATTTCCTCCAATGGAGAGGTAAGTGGATATTGATTATAGCTTTATGTTTGGTGGTAGGTTGGAAAATGGATGTTCTTTGCACATTTTGTGTCTAGAGATGTATGTTATGTATCTGAATCACCATTGATTGTGAATCTTGTGTAATAATAGCTTAGATTATCCTGATAAGTTGAGTTTTGTGTTGCCTCTATTTGCCGAACTTTGATGATCATGAGCTTGATTGTTTGTAAAATCAGTTTGAGAAGCTTGTTGCTGACAAGATAGAGCTTGAAAATCGCCTTAAAAGTCTAAATGATAAGCTTACCTCTGTTGAAGCTGAGAGCAATAAGCATAAGACTGAGACACAAGAAGCAATTATTGGTAACTTTACTGAATCTTATTTTTCCTCTGACTTTTGTCCTCTTCACGGTCTCACGTAGCTTCTTGTTCCATTTGCATTTTGTGTTAAACAGGCTGGGAGAAGACAAAAGCTGAATCAGCATCTCTCAAGAAGAAGCTTGAAGAAGCTTTGAATGAGAAACAGAGGAGCGACGAGAGGTCAAGTCACACGGACGCTGGTCTAAAAGAATGTATGCAGCAGCTTCGCTTTGTTCGCGAGGAGCAGGAGCGTAGAATGCATGATGCTTTGACAAAAGCATCACAGGGGCACGAACGATTATTGACTGTTGTAAAGACAGAATTGGCAGATACCGGGAAGAGGCTTGCAGAAGCAGAAGGCGAGAACACTCAACTCTCAAAGGCTTTGTTAGCAAAGAACAAAACTGTTGATGATTTAAACAGAGAGAGGGACCGTATTGAAGCTGATTTCAATGCTTTGGTGAGTAGTTTAGAGTCCAAGGAAAAAGAAAACGTTTCTCTGAGATACGAAGTCCGAGTGCTGGAGAAAGAGCTTGAGATTCGGAACGAAGAGAGAGAATTTAGCCGTCGAACCGCTGAAGCATCGCATAAACTGCACTTAGAGAATGTGAAGAAAGTTGCAAAGCTAGAACAAGAGTGTCAAAGGTTACGGACACTTGTCAGGAAACGGTTACCAGGACCCGCTGCTCTGCCCAAAATGAGAAGTGAAGTAGAGATGTTGGGGAGGAGAAGAGTCAATGGAAGCTCTAACGGTGCAATGATTGATTCTGAAAAAATCAGTAACCTCACTGAGCAATTATGCTTACTGGAAGAAGAGAACAAGACTCTGAGGGATGCGTTAAACAAGAAAGTCAATGAGCTTCAGTTCTCAAGAAATATGTATTCTCGAACAGCGTCAAGACTACTTGAATTCGAGTCTCACCTCGACGAATCTTCTAAAGGCACAAACATTGACCCAAGCAGTTGCAGCAATGTGTCACATGAAGTCTCGCTTGCATCACTATCAGAGTTTGACAACGATGATAAAGTTAGCTGTTCAGATTCCTGGGCTTCTGCTTTGCTATCAGAGCTGGAGAATTTCAAGAACAAGAAGCAAACGGGCTCAAGTTTGGTTAGAACTCCCAAAGCTTCAGAGATGAAACTAATGGATGATTTTGCTGAAATGGAGAAGCTTGCAATGGTAACAGGTACAGTCGATAACCGACCTGGAAGCTCTCCTATTTGTTCTTCTGATTCCATTTCAGCTACTGGCCCTGTAGAGAACGAATCTAATGAAAATTCATCAGAGGTAACAAAAACTCCCAGAACAGATCCTGGCGCATCTCCTCAAGATATCAAGTCAGATTCAACGAGCAAATTACCTCAATCTCTTCATATCGTCTTGAATGCGATCATGGACCATATGCGTGTTACGCATAGAAACACTGATGAAGTACTTGAAGATATCAGAAAAGCTTTGTCAGGTGTAAACCATTCAAGCTTAAAACAGACCGAGAATCTCACTGTGGACGGTAGACCAGACGTGGAGTGTTGTATCAGCAAATCGATTCGCAGGATCGTTGAAATTATCGAAGTAGTCAGCTTAAAAGATGAGAGGCATGTCTCACACGGAGAATCAGAAAGGCTTTCAGGTTACACTGCTCGTGTCTTGCAATGGAAAACTACAGAGCTCAGTAGTGTATTGCAACGATTTCTTCAGACTTGTTATGATCTATTAGACAGAAAAGCAGACATGAACAAGTTTGCAGAAGAGTTAAGCTCTGTCTTGGAATGGATGGTGAACCACTGTTTTTCTCTTCAAGATGTTTCAAGCATGAGAAATGAGATTAAGGAGCAGTTCGAGTGGGATGAGTCACGGAGTGGAAGCGAAATTGATATTGGAATAGTTGACCAGGTTTCAGAAGCAGATAAGCTTAAGACAGATGATGTTTCATCTTTGGCTTCCAAGGATCAGCTCATCGTAAAAAAACCTTACAATCACAAGCTACCGAGCAAAATTGTTGAAGAAGAGGCAAAGGACAAGGCAGCAAGGTAAGTGTGAATGCTTGAAGACTTCAATCAATCATTTGAGTTATCTCTGATGAATCCAATGGTTTTCTTGTTGCAGTGCTTCAGCGAGCGAGCTTACGCTGGACGAAACACAAAACATGCGAACTGTAAGAACCAGCACAAGATCAAAACCTGACATTTTGAATTGTTTTTTCCAAGACAAATGAGAGGTTGATTTTCTTATATGTTTGATGACAGGAATTGGAGATCACTGCTGCTTCTGAAAAGTTAGCTGAGTGTCAAGAGACGATTCTAAACCTGGGAAAGCAGCTCAAAGCATTGACTAACTCAAAGGAAACAGCTTTGCTTTCAGACAAACTCACACCTGACTTTACCTCCAAATCGAACAACTTAGCTACTGCACAACCTTCACAAGAGACAAAACCAGAGAAGAGACTGACCACACAGAGATCATCTCTTTTGGATCAGATGAAGGCAGAAGATCATGACAATGGAGGAGAATCCAAGGACCAGAATTCTCAAGCAGAAGATAAAAACGGAAATGGAGGCAAATCTGTTTACAATGAAACTATTGAGGCGTTGGAACAGATTCTTCTCTCAGACAAAAAAAGCAAAGGCCTTGAAACAAACTGCTTCTCCATTGTTCCTCAGAAAAAGAGTGGCGGAGCTAAGAGCCTGTGGAGGAAGCTATTAGGGAGAAACAAGAAAAGCAAGAGCAACAAGATCCCTAATCCATTTGCCACCTAAGAAGATGGTGTCATCTAGACTATAACCTAATACCTTAATCATGTTCTTTTTATGTTACCTGTACTAAGCATACTAAACTGTCATTTTTTCTTAGAATTTTTGGCAGTATATATTTATAGGGAGGATTGCTGTAAGGCCTTAAAAAAAGTTGGTAATTAGTAGAATAATCTCACAATCTCGAAAATACTAGAACAATTTTGTTTTTTGAAAAATCCCAATTTTACTCTTTGGATGCTTTGGTTATAAAAAACGCAGTTACGAAAATACCATTATTATTTAATTTCCACGTCAGCAGGAAAACTAACGCGCTAAGAAATAAGTCTATCATCGTTAATGGTAGAGATATTTTTGTTGATAGACTTAAATGTTTATGGGTAGATATATTATCCATTGATAGATTTGTGTAAATGTTGATGATTTGTAAAATGTTGGTAGACTTATTTTGGTAGACTTATTTTCAACGTGAAGGTAAATTTGATTTTGTTGATATATTTTTTGTTATGTAAGGTAAATTTATTTCGATTTGGTAGATATAATGATGGAAAGTTGACTTTGGTGGACGAAATTGGTAGAGTTATTGACCTTTTAAAGTAGATTTGTTTTAGTAAAAATAGATTTATTTTTGAAGAATATAAATCTACTATTAGAGATTTAGATTCATAGTGATAGATTTATTTGTGTATATGGTAGATTTAAAAAACGCGTAGTATATTTGTTATTGCGAAGTAGATTTGTTTTCTGAGTGATAGACTTATACTTACATTTTCGAACATGAGATTTGTTTTCTGAGTGATAGATATATTAGACAATGTAATAGAGATATTTGGTGGTGGTAGATTTATTATTCAAAAAATAGATTTTTGGGTAATATAATAAATTTATTTTTCATTTTGGAGCATTGATGTTGATAGAGTTATGTGAAAATTGGTAGACTTTTTAAGAATTGGTAGATTTATAAAATTTGATAGAGTTATTTTCCTGCACTTGAAGGTAGACTTATTGATACGAAATTATTTTTTGTCCAACAGTTATTACCGAATTTTCTACATTCAATCACCGCATTAACTACATCTAGGGTAGGTGCCCTTAAGTGTTTGTCGATGATTTCCCCTGTATCAGATGCTCTCTTGATGTTGTATCTCTTTCTCCTCATGGTGGTTAAGATTCAATTTAGTTATATGCTTTTGAAGAGTTCTAGTCCCAAGCTACCCAAAGATTCACCACTGGTTTTTGTTGCAAATCTTCAACAATTTGCCGTATTTTTGCGTCACTTTGAAAACGAGACGATAAGCCTATGCGTCGAGGTAATGACAAAGCAGCGAGTAATGAGCTGAATGGGAAAAGATCTTCAGGTTGCGAGGATTTGTGTTGTTATGTAATAGACTTGTGTTGTTTTGTAATAGATTTGTGTTGTTTTGAAGTAGACTTATGTTATATTCATACTTTACCATTTGACAAGTTTACCACTTACTACCAGAAATCTACCATTCAGTTGTCAACAAATCTTACAATAAAACAACTCTACCATTCAGTTGTTAAATAAGTCTATCACCGATTTAAATCTGCTTCAACAATTGTAGGAATGGTTCGTCTATGCGACCAATCTACCAAAATAAATAGCAAATAAACACCAACAACGCTACAACAAGAAAATGGTCCTCTCAAGGTACAATCCTTAATCTTTGAGCTGAAGGGTTTGCCTAAAAAATTCTTCTGGTAACTCGTCCTTAGTCTCTGCCGCATATTTCATCCATATCGTAGCAACTGTGTCATCAACTGTGTGATCATTCTGTTTCATTTCACTTCTAGTCTCAGTAAAGAATCAGTAATCTTTGACCCAATGAATCTATCTTTCGCAGGGTTTAGATAAATCTCAAATGTAGACACCGAATGCAAAGATCATTCGATTCCATGTCATCTCAAGTCTCAAAGAAAACATCACTAATTGTTGATGGAGTGACTATTAAAAGAGACTTCTCAATCTCTGTACAGAACAAAGTTGGCGATATCTTCTAGTCCAGCTTCCTTGTAGCACTGAGCAACCCGTTCCAGTGACTCGTCCCATGTCCCTTCAAGCGACGCTAGATCCAGTAAGTACCCAGCCTCGTCGAAAGATGCCTGACAATTACAAGTTTTGTTTCAGTCCCTTGTATCCAAAAGCATGATATGAGCATCTGAATAGGAATACCGAATATATGCAAAAAACAAACCTGGGCCCTTGGCTTTCCCCGGTCAATATCTCGTTTTCTTCCTTCTCCTGTAACTCTCTCTTTGTACTGCACAATTTTTTCTTCTCCCCACTCTGCTATTCGAGCAATTTCCTGCGCAGCCATTTCATATATTCAACACTTTTATCAATTCTCTTTACAATAACCGAAATGGTTTAACAACATTCAAGGAATCGTACCTCGTATCTGCATCCTAAGGTCCACCACGAAGATTTCAGAGCACCCCTAGCCGCATCTTTTGCTTCTAGGCTACGCCCAAGCCTACATACCAACAGAGGTCTTAGAGATTTCTAGAAAGGACATAAGAATCTATACGTAGATACATTCATGAGGGGGAAAGAGAGATGATGAGAGAAGATCATACGAACTTCAGCAAAACCTTTGCGTTGAAAGCAAAAGGCCGGGCAAATCCGGGGAAGTTCCCTCTCTTTGTATAAAACTCGGCAGCCACCAAAGCTGAAACCTTGTATGAGCAAGTGAAGATAGTTAAAAAAGGGAAAAACAAGTTAACTACTACAGGATAGATGTTGTTACTAGCCTTACATGGTCTCCATTCTCGATATGTCGAATAACTTTTCGTTCTAGAGAATCCGGAAACAGTCCAACCTGAATAAGCAAAGCTAACAATCATCCCAACATCCATGTGCCAAAAAGCGTCTGATATTAAAACTTTCAATATATATGTACCTTTCTTAAGAGATAGATATCTAAATCCATCAGTTCTGACCTGGCAAAGTCACCTTTACTGTAAATTTTCTTCCCAGCTTCACCTGCAGCATCGAAGATTACTTGACTGGATTCTTCGGGTTTAGAAACATCTTCTTCCATCAATATTCTGTGAATGAACTGGTCAACCTGAATGTTGGCCACTCATTGTTAGATATGAGAATGAAGAGCCAGCAAAAAAAAAGCTAAACAGAGTTCAACGCATCTCATTACATTATTGGCTAAAAACCAAACCCCATGTTTCTGAACTTCAACCACAGGCATCTCCATACTGTAAACACCAGAAACAATAATAAGATAGTAAAGAAGAAACAGAAGAGAAACATGACGATATAACAATACAATAGGTGATCCTCTGACCTAGGACGAGCTGTTGGCCACCGTAGTAGAGCAATCGAAGAACCTGAAGATGAAAGACAAGACACACAAAATCACAGCTCCAACTTAGAAGACTTCTGGTCAATATGAACGTGTTTCAAAATGAGACAAAGAAACGTCCTAATCATACCCGGGCTGATTCTCACCAATGGGATAGTAAGAGGCAACAAGCCTTGCTTTGCACCAGGAGAAACTATGGATTTGCCTAATACAATATCATTACATAACATCACAAGCATGTTCATCGTAAACATGATCATTGATCAACCAAGTCAATATTAACCAGTATTCAAGCTGCTTAACATGTAAGATTGATCTACCTCTAGCTTTGTATATACTCAGCAGCTGAGTCAGATGCTTAGGAGGCTGAGCTTTGGCTATGTCCTTAATAAAACATTCATGATCTGCAATACGCAAAATTCCACAGAATCACCCGTTAATCTTCAATTCGTTGGTGTCTCAGTCTCAACTTCAGCTCAGTAACAATTCGGGAACCGATCTCAAGCTATCATTTCCAGAAATTGAAATGAAATAGCGAAAATGTGAATCAGAAGAAGGGAAAAATACAGCTCACCAGATAATGGAGAAGAAGAAGAAGAGCAAAAGGATCTGGCGGCGAAATTTCTGCCTAGACGAAGCATCAATCCGCGTCTCCGTCTAATAGCCACCGCGCCGGAAAGCATCTTTAAAAGGTTTTCCGATCGATCGCCGTGACTGTTCCTCTTCCGATGTGATTACAGAGAAGAAGCTTCGAAAACGGTGTGACAAAAAGGAGGCGGATTGAGAAAAAGTCCCGAAAATAAAGCCCAAAATTAGGGTTTAAGAGCCCATAAATCCGGAGCCCAGCAAGAAATAGAACCAGGCAATGTTCTCGAGCTGCGAAAGATTACGACACCGTTGCCGGAGATATTTAACCGGAGAAATACACTTTTCCGATGTACAGTGGGTATTTCAAATCGATCTGCCACGTCGCTATTTCCCACCAACTTTAATTTTAATCGAGAAAATATTTGTCTTAATTTCACGCTTCCCGATTCATAACAACTGTTAATGTTCTCTATAAAGTATGTTTTTTTTCTCAATCGGAAATTTCTAATTTTGAAGAAGATAACAAAATAAAAATTGAAGATAATATTAGGGTTTATACGACCCGCCAAATTACTTCTCTCCTCCGACATTTCAGATTCGCGACCCGGATCCTGACCCGAACCCGCATTTTCCTTGGTTCCGATCTGGCTCCTTGACAATGGCGTCGGGAGCTTCTCCTTCTACTTCGGCTACCAGATCGGAGCCGCACAAGGACTCTACGGTGCGTCATTTTCACTCTTCTCAATTCCGTCTTTGAATTTCTCGAAATAGAAACTTTTTCCTTTTTCTGCTATTGAGCCATTGACTGTTTCTTTGCTTTTGTTTGACTCAAGAGAACGAAATCTAAATGGCTTGATTTTTGCTTCTACTCGCTCGTTCTTGGATCTAGAGATTACTGCATTGTGAGCTTAAAAGTTTGTTTTTAGGATGAGAAAACCATTTTGCTACAAATGATTGAACACTTTGGAAATGAGTGTAGAGGAACTTCATTTTTGATGGTTTTTTGTTGACAAAAAGTGTTTGATTGTTAGATTCAAATTCTCAGATTTCTCTCTGTCACATTGTTGTAGACATCTCAGCCGGAGGAGAGAGCTCCAGCTTCTAAGGAGGTATCAGCAGTAATAGATTCGCTTAAGAAGAAACTTGCAGCTGATCGGTGTATATCAATAAAGGTCAATATTGTTCATTGTTTATAAGTTTTATTTTATTCGTTTCGGTTTCCGATTTCTAGAAGTTGATGATTCGTTTCACCAGAGAAGGATTGATGAAAACAAGAAGAGTTTGCGTGGCATTACTCATAGCTTTATGAGGTCGTCCATGGACAGAGGAGGTAGCTATAAAGATGGTAGTGATCTCTTAGTTAAGAGGCAAAGAGATTCACTAGGTATGAAAAGCGGAATTGATGCAAACGATGGAGATAAGAATAACCATAGCTTCTTGGAAGATGGACATGTCAGTGCAGCGATGGCTCAAGGATCCAGTGTCCCTGTTAAGATTTCCTTACGTCCAATCAAGATACCTGATATCAAACGTCTCTCGCCTTATACCACATGGGTTTTTCTGGATAGGTATGTTGACATTTACGTCACATGAGTACTTTCTATTTAAAACGTTCAACATTTAAATCACTGTTATATAAATGATGCAGGAATCAAAGAATGACTGAGGACCAGTCTGTAGTGGGTCGAAGGAGGATTTATTATGATCAAACAGGTGGGGAAGCACTCATTTGTAGTGATAGTGAAGAAGAGGTGATTGACGAGGAAGATGAGAAAAAAGATTTTGTGGAGCCTGAAGACTTTATTGTTCGGTCGGTATATAAATAGAATAGCATCGGTCTAATTCTTCGCATTTCAGTCTTGTAGTGTGAACCTTTTTTTCTGCTGTGTTCATTGTTATACTCTTTGCATTCTCACTTATGTTCTTTGATTTAATTTTCCTTTCATTTCTACAGCATGACCCTTGAGCAACTAGGTGTTTCAGACTGTGTCTTGGAGGAATTAGCAAATTTCTTGTCCAGAAGTTCTAGTGAAATCAAGGTATCAACACTTTTTTCTCTATGTAATGCCGGTATGAACTATTATGTCGTAGTCTTCTATTAGAATCCAGAACTTTCAATTGTAGGATAAGAAAACAGAGTGAGTGTGTGCATCGTTTAAGGACATCCAATTAGTTTTGTTCCAGCCCTTTCCCAATTGGCTTTTTGCAGAGATATGAACACCGAACATCTTATACAGGCAAGACATGCAGTGCTTATGAAGGAAAAAGAAGTATCCGAGAGTGGCGATAATCAAGCAGAGAGCTCCCTCCTCAACAAAGATATGGAAGGAGCATTAGATTCTTTCGACAACCTGTTCTGCCGTAGATGCCTTGTTAGTGCATTTCATTTCAGTCTAAATTCTTGAAGGGTTATTACTTGATGTTCTAGGAACAATTGACTCTTTTTTACTTGTTATGTGTCTACGTAGGTATTTGATTGCCGGCTGCACGGGTGTTCACAAGATCTTATATTTCCCGTGAGTTAGTGCTAAGTGCTAACTGATGAATCTTATTGTACAATTTAATAGTTACTTATTTTAGTTTTATTCTGTGGGCTTTTTAGGCTGAGAAACCAGCTCCATGGAGTGCTCCTGTAGATGAAAATTTAACCTGTGGTGCAAAATGCTATAAAACGGTAAAATTTGTGTTATTTATGTAGCTAAGCTCACCTCCTAGAAAGACCGGCTTGACAAAAAGAATTGTTTTCATTCTATCAGCTTCACAAGTCTGAAAGAATTCCAGGATATGGCACCACTGAAGAAAAGACTGGCACCTCATCAGATGGTGCTGGTGCTAAGACCACATCCAAGAAATTCTCCAGCAAACTTAAAAGGAGAAAACCAAAGACCTTCCCAAGTGAAAGTGCATCGTCTAATGAAAAGTCCACGCAGGAAACAAGCGACTCAGAGAATGGAGTTCAGCAGGATACGAATTCCGATAAAGTTTCTTCCTCACCAAAGGTGAAAGGTAGTGGGAGACGTGGAGGTCGTAAGAGGAACAACAACCGAGTCGCTGAGCGAGTTCCTCGTAGGACTCAAAAGAGACAAAAGAAGACAGAAGCCTCAGATACTGATTCCATCGCCAGTGGAAGTCGTTCACCAAGCGATGCAAAACATAAAGAAAATGAAGATGCTATTTCCTCATCTCAGAAGCATGTAAAATCTGGGAACTCTGGGAAGTCAAGGAAGAATGACACTCCTGTAGAAGAATCCAAGAATTCTGTGAAGGATGACGATCCTGTTTGTCAGTCAAATGAGGTTGCATCTGAACCGTGTAGCAATGAAAGTTCAAGGAAAGACGAATTTGTGGGTGAAAATGTATGCCGAGGAGGATTGGCTGGAAACAAATCGTGGAGACCACTTGAGAAAAGCCTTTTCCAAAAAGGTGTCGAGATATTTGGAATGAATAGGTGAGTAACAGATGCAGTCACTACTGCTAGATTATCTTTCCGCTTCAGACTTTTATATAAAATCTATGTGATATAGTCATATCAATTCTTTATTTCTTAACAGCTGCATGATTGCTAGAAACCTTTTGAGTGGCTTCAAGTCATGTTGGGAGGTCTTCCAATATATGACTTGCTCGGAGAATAAAGCTTCCTTCTTTGGAGGTGACGCATTGAATCCCGATGGTACTTCCAAGTTTGATATCAATGGAAATATGGTATAATACTATTTCTTTTTGTATACACATTCCAAATAAAATGGATTTACTTCTCTTGGGAACTAATACTTTTGTCATTGGACTGGACTAACCAGGCTAATAACCAAGTTAGGAGAAGGTCGAGATTTCTACGTAGAAGAGGCAAAGTGCGTCGCTTGAAGTATACATGGAAGTCTGCTGCATATCATTCAATTAGGAAAAGAATTACTGAGAGGAAAGACCAGCCGTGCCGTCAGTTTAATCCATGCAACTGTAAAACTTCTTGCGGGAAAGAATGTACTTGTTTGCTAAACGGGACTTGCTGCGAGAAGTACTGCGGGTAATCATGTTGATCTAAGATCATCCATATCTGTATTTCTTAGCCTTGGATTTTTCCCTACCAACATCCTTTGTTTTCTCTGTAGTTGCCCAAAGAGCTGCAAGAATAGGTTTAGAGGTTGTCATTGTGCCAAAAGTCAGTGTCGAAGCCGTCAGTGTCCATGTTTTGCTGCAGATCGAGAATGCGACCCAGATGTTTGTAGGAACTGCTGGGTCATGTAAGTCTATTGGCCATGCAATTGTTTACTCTTTCGTTTTGTGTACTAGTTCGTCTCTTCAGAGGTCCACGAACATATTGCTACTTTATTTTTTTTCAAATAGTTCCAGTTCCGCTAGTACTGTGTCTGAATGAATTTGAATATGCAGTGGTGGGGATGGTACGCTCGGGGTCCCTAGCCAAAGAGGCGATAACTACGAGTGTAGGAATATGAAATTACTTCTGAAACAACAACAAAGGGTAAGTACATAACTAGGATGAATCATTAAAAGATGAGAGATGAGATTGCTAAGTTCGCTCCTCTTTTCTTGTGAATTCAGGTGTTACTTGGAAGATCTGATGTTTCTGGTTGGGGAGCTTTCTTAAAGGTAAAGTAGATGCAAGATTTGTTAAATAGAATTGAAGTCTTTTTAAAAGAGAGTGAACTATGTTTGGAGTTTTGACTTGCCTTAAGATAAAATCTTGTTCCTGCTTACAGAACAGTGTAAGTAAGCATGAATACCTTGGGGAATACACAGGAGAGCTGATCTCGCATAAAGAAGCAGATAAACGTGGAAAGATCTATGATCGCGAGAACTCGTCTTTTCTTTTCAATCTAAACGATCAGGCACGTCTCATCTCAAATATCTTTCCCATTCTTTAGCTTGTCTTCGATATAAAAACTTTGCTATAAATCGAAAACTTTATTTGGATTTCCTGCAGTTTGTGCTAGATGCTTACAGGAAAGGAGACAAATTGAAATTCGCTAACCATTCCCCTGAACCTAACTGTTACGCAAAGGTAAAACTGGAAAGATGTTAAAGACACGGTTTTTGTATGATTTGTCTAAACCTGACTGGAGATTTCTGTGTCTGTTTAAGGTCATTATGGTTGCTGGAGATCACAGAGTTGGGATTTTTGCAAAGGAGAGGATAATGGCTGGAGAAGAACTGTTCTATGACTACCGGTATGAGCCAGAGCGAGCTCCAGCTTGGGCTAGAAAACCTGAAGCTTCGGGTTCTAAGAAAGACGAGAATGTTGCACCTTCTGTTGGTAGACCAAAGAAGCTTGCTTAGTTGCAGAAGCCAAACACTGCATCCACACACACGACAAAAACAAAATTAATCATTTTTTTTGGCTTAAACCCTATATTTATAGGTGGAAGAACACATTGATACAAATCCATGCATTTTGCTGAGTCTAAAGAAAAGTTATATTCGTTGGATTTTTAACGTCCTTTTTTTTTTCATTTCATGGTTAAGCGACTTGAGTTTTTATTTCATTCTATTTTTTTGTTGCGTAGAATGCAAGAAATTTAAGTAAGTTATACATTTCTGTTGGATTGGTATCATTGCATTGTGTTGAGACTCGGTTAGGTTTGTAAATTACAGATGAGAAGCTCAAAGCTCTCTCCACGGAAACTTGATGAGCTTGCGCCCTGTTACTCATTCTTAAATTAATTTCTTTCCGAAACGAAATTTGAGTCTCTGCTAAAACAGAGACCTAAAATACTAAATTGAACATTAATCAATTTTACTTAAAGAAAAGAACTGATGTTTTGGGAGTTGAACCCAGGGTCTATGATTCTGATGCTGGTCCACTTGCAGTTCCTTTGAGCAGGCTTGCACAAGCACACGCTTTGTGGTCCCAAAAACTTGATTGCCACAATACTGTCTCTGCGGAATCATAGTTTGTTAATCAGATAAAAAAACAGAGCAAGAAACACCATCTGATGCAAGAGAAGATCAAGGCAGCTTACCAGTAGAGAAAGCTTCAAGAGCGAGAGCCAGGTAAGAAGCAGAGACATGGCTAAATGGAGAGATACCCCTTGCCCACCAAGTCTTGCCCATTGATTGACTTTCCTAATATACCTTTTTTTTACATCAGAGTTATGAATTTTAACTCTTGTCTTGTGAATGATCATAATAGTGAACCTATCTTACACACATCAATTGAGTAGACCAAAATGACAAAATAATTAATGTGTCAACACCAAAATCTTTCTCACGTTTAAACGAATAAACAGAATGAGACACTATTATTGATCGTAAGACAATTCTTCCTATAAGTAAAGCTTATCATGAGGAGACAATTCTTCCTGTAAGTAAAGCTTATCATGAGGAGACATTATGTAAATGCTGGAACGAAAAAAAAAAGTAACGTTTTCAACAAACAGCTCAAAAAACTTAGATTCTTTCAAAACGACAATGGCAGTCTCTATGAAAAAAAAACTGGAAAGAGCAGAACAGCTCTTCTTTAGTTCTTGTTCTTCAATGTTTCCTGAAGAGACATAACACACCTGGTTCCTACTCAGAGTTGTTATCAGACTCATCAGAGTCATTTTCAGAGTCTTCATGCGCAGTGTAATCATTGTCAGAGGAGTCTTCAGAATCTTCATGCTCGTCAGAATCTTCGTGCTCGTCAGAATCTTCGTGCTCGTCAGAACCATTCTCCTCAGAACCATTCTTGTCAGAATCTGCACCGGGAATGTCAAGAGGATTTACAACATCCTCGAACAAGTATTGGGTAAACTTCATACCATCAAACCTGTAATGCCATTTAAAAAAAAAACATTCAGTTGACATTTAACATTCAAAAGAACACATCAAAAACAATAAAACTGATGAAACTAACCTTTCAGGGTTAGGGCTATAGTAAACACATTTTACAAATCGGCGCAAATTTACAGTCTCCCCAAGCGCCTCAGTGTACTTTATCAAGGCATAGCCTCTAACAAGAAATTTTGTAGTAGAGTACTTCCAGTCGTTTTGGCGATCCTGGTATCTGGCACACCGTTTCAAGTACAGCCCAGGTTGCCCAGCTGGAGCTTTAGGAGCTGGATCCCCAGTGAGTTCAACCAATTCTGCACGTCTAGCAAATAAAGTCTCCAAATCGTTTGGTGTCAAAAGTTGGGATGCAGAGCGTTGAAAAAGATCTTCGAGGCCTGAACAATAATATCAAATCATTTAGAAACGAACTATCTCCAAAAAGGTCAGACTCAATCATCAAACATAGCAACCAGATTTGGTCAAAGAAACTATGTATATCGCAATGCAACTCAGAAGCGAACAGTACTGAAAATCACAATTAAACAATACGAAAAGTCAACCATGGAAAACCACTAAAGTGAAATGGAAAATATTCACCAGATACAGAAGAGTCGGACATGTTGAAACCATTAGAGAGAAGTATAATCAAAACATCCTTCAAATTCATCTCAATGTTTAGTGACTAAAGATGCTATCTTTGACTTAATGCACTGAAGAGTAAATTTAACAAGAATTCTATTTCCATAGCAACTTGAAATCCCTTTCTGAGCCTCTAGTGCCACCAAATCGGGTGTAGTACATTTATCCATAGCAACCGAGTTAGTATTCCAAGGCAGTTTTGCATTGTACAATAAAAGAAATTCTGAACTACATTTTCTCATGATTGAAAAGGAAACATCCTACAAGTTAAAAGATACTTCAAGCAGAAAGAGAGACACCTACAGTTCTAAGAGTATGAAACTAAACAGCTTTGGAGTAGATAATTTATGTGATGAATGAATTGCACATATAAATGAAATTAAATGGAGTATTTTTGATAATATGCAAGAATTGTTTGTTTTACTGCCGAATTAGACAAAAAAAATCAAAAGTGGTTTCTATTCTCCAAAAAACATCGTCGAAAGATAAAAACAGATAATAAATTAGATAAGTGTAGCAAAAGTAGCATGAAAACTTAATTTGTATATGTTTTCGGGTTTATTTTATTCGAAGAGATTTTAATTTAGCTAAAGAAATTACATTTTAGCCGAGGAATTTTAATTCTGTATAGCCACATTATTCATTTTAGCAGAGAAAATCTTTCACAAATGGGGATAAATAAGGTACAGTTAGACACATATATACAATTATCTGTATATACAATTACCTTTAAAGGTGTTCATTGCGGCCTCAGCCTCTACTTTCTCGGCATGTGCTATCAGCAAACAATTATCGATGTCTTCATCATCGGGTTGACTAAACACTGCCAAAGAAGAGGCTATGACGTTTGTTGGTCCTAAGGATTTTTGCCGTTCCCTAGCAATTTGAACTTCAACACTTTTCTTTCGTTCCAATCTCACCATTTCACCATTTACTGACTCCTTGAATGTGACAAATAAATTCACAGACTTATCTGATTTATGCAACGAACGGAAGAATTTGTACTCTCGATGAGTAACTATCACACATGGACAACTCCCGTGACCATTAAGCTCAGCTCGAACATCATCAAATCAGTAGGAAATCTCCACCGAATCAACTCTCGGGTCTAATCCGAACTCATGCGCAATCAGATTTCTCAAATTCTTTGGTCCAGACACATTTTTGCAATTTATGCACCTTATATGACAAGATATGCCCATTTTGAAATCCCAATCTCCTGTATAGTACCTTATCCACGTTCTTGCCATCACGAGAATGAACACATCCACTACAAATCGCGAACACCATATCTAAAAAATTACTGGCAAATCGCGAACACCAAAACTAAAAAATTCGAAAATAACTATGAAAAATCTATGGGTGTACAAGGATATAATTAAGTAACTAACCGTGGTTGTTGTCCTCTTGAACATCGTATTATTTTCCCTTCAATTTCAACATCTTCTCGAAAAGGAAACTAGGGTTTCCAAATTAGTTTGGGTACTTTGTTTCTTATTTTCACTCAATTTATCTCCATTATCTCTAATTAACCATAATTTTTTCCCCACCAAATTAAAATGGATGAGTAGTTTTGCTTGTAATGGTTTTGATACTTTTGCTATAGTTTCCGGGCCATAACCAAAGCCCAGTATGCTAAGATGGTTTTTTGGAAAATTCATTCCCAAATTCGAAAAACAGGCCCACTAAACAATTCAATCGTATGCGTGAGTTTCTCTCTTCTCGACTGTTACGCGCGTGGACTCTCTACTTCTGGAACCCACACTATTTTCTGCATCTGTCTCTCTCTGAAAGACAGAGTTCTCTATCTCTATCTCTCTCTAAAAACAAGAGTAAACTTTGGTTTATGAAAGTATGTCTCCAGCCAAACTAATTAAATCTCAAAATTACCTATTTTTCAAATTAAAACTTAAAAATTTCCTTATTTTCAAATGAACCCAAGTGAAAATTGGTAAAAAGTTAAAATACAAATCTTTTGCAATGGAGGTCATAATCACTAGTGGTGGAGCTCAGTCGGTGTTTGTTCTGATGGCGAAGAGAAGTGTTGGCGGAAGCAGCAGCGATTTGCAGACACGCTTAGATCAGGATACATATTTTTTAATTAGCTTTTTACTAAGAAGGGATTCTTACTTTAAGGATAAAATTAAATCAAAATTAGCCAATAATCTAAGAATTCGTTTCTTATTTAAGACTTTTAAGAATCGTTTTTTAAGAGCCAGGTGTCTATTCGTGATTGGCTAGATTTATTGAAAAGGAAAATAACTTCTCTCTTCTACGCGACTCTCTCTCGACGCTTCTCTTCGCTCACTCCGTCGCCGATTCGGTCGCCAACCTCCGTCGCCAACCTCCGCCGCCGATTCGGTTCGATTAGGTGCTTCTCTTCGCTCTCTCCGGTAATCAATTTTCGCTTTTTGATCTGAATATTGAGTATAAGCCTTCTGTTGAAGAGAAGGGAACTGAGAAAAACGGATCTGTATTGGTTGAATCGAGTTTAGAAGTAGAATATGATGATGATGATGATGTGATCACTTCCAAATGCATATATATTGTAGAAAGGTACAAGATGAACTGACATGAATATATTGAGTTTTTCTTCGTCTTAATTGATGCAGTGGATTCGTAGCTCAAACCCATTTCAAATATCGTGTTTATGTTTCTGAATATATATATATATATGCTTGGATAAATATAGTGCTGTCTAGTTGAACTTATGCATGTGGTTTGCTTTCAGATTGTGAACTGCCTTCAAGCTCAAGAACTATTGGCGAGAGAGAGCTTGGTGATAGCTCTTCTGTTATCCCTACTCAGAGCAAACTGAATTCACTAACTGTCATTGATCAGGAGAGAGCAAGGAAAGCTGCTATTGCAGGTACGCATCATCTGCTAGCATGAGCATCAACACACATTATCATGACTCCGAGTCAGCCGTGGAAGCTCGGAGAAGACTCTGTATCTATGGGAAGAAGACTGTGTATCTATGGCTTCTGCCGTTCCATTGAGATGCTTAGTGATGTTGTTGAAGACACTGTCTTAGAACATGGTGATTGGTGGAGAGGTTTGGTTGTTCTCACTCCTTTCGCCATGAAAATCTTTCTCAGTCAAGTCTAATTACCTCTTGCTTTGCATGCGTTAAAGGTCGTTGCTACAGAGAAAGAGATCAAAGGTGGTTTACAAGAGAAGCTAACAATGACGGTGGCCGGTTCCATATCTCTGGGGTGTTCCTCCGGCTGCAGAAAGGCTTCACCGTGCGGTTCGAACTGGCGGAGGCATCGTTGACAAAGTTTATTGGCAATGGTTTTTCTTGTGATTCTTGAAATTTCTCCAATAATAATGGGTTCTTCTATTGTATATAAAAAATATCATTGTACAAAACCATTACATTTGGTATATAAATGCCACTAAATCCCCTTAATTGTATTATTCCATTTTGTTGATGGTTTTAGTTCCGATCTTAGAATGGATCTTCATTTCTTTTTTTTTAAGAACTCCATTAAAGATTTTTGCATTGGAGGCTACACAATCTTAATTTTTTAATTGAGATTCTTGACTCAACATTAAATTACTTAAGAACCCCATTAAGGGTACTTGCATTGCTGATGCTCCTCCGGTAACATATGCATATACACGTGTTGGCTTTGTTGTGTAACTGTTTTATGGGCTTGTTTGATATAGGGTTTAAATTGTACATTGTATGTTTTGCTTATTAAGCTTTAATGAAACTTTTGGTCGACAAAGAATCTTATCTTATATATAAAAGACAATCAACTTTCTCTATATGCTTGACACATCAGCATTGGAGAAGTTGACACTTGTCAACTAAATTTTAAATAATAAATTTTAATATTAAATTTTAAAACATTTAAAGAATATGAAAAGTTTGTATTAACTAACATTTATATAAGCACTTAAAAAATATGAAAAAATTGTATTAACTAACATTTATATTGATGTTAAACAAAAATTTATGTTATAACTAATTAAAAATATTGATAGATATATATATATATATAATTTTTATATAACTGTTGATTATTTAATAATATTCAAGATGTTAAAATTAATTTTTAAGATTATTTATAATAAAATACTAACAAGTAGCAAATAAAATGATGATTATATTAATTTTAATTTTTTTTTATTAATTGACTATGAATTAATATTTGTGTAAATGTCAAACAAAATTATGATATAACTAATTAAAAATATTGAATAATATATATTAATTTTAATATAATTTTAGATTATTAAATAATATTCAATATATATTTTAAATTAATATTTTAAAAAAAATTAGAATAAAATATTAACAAGTAAGTAAATAATAAGTGATGATTATATTAATTTTTATAAAAATATAACAAAAAAATCAAAAAAATTGAAAAGAAAAATCGCACGTAACGTGCAGGTATTCACCTAGTACTAATAAAAGTTAAAGCTAAATGTTTTTAAGGGTGTCCACATAAGATTTAAAAGTGTAATTCTATTGGTCCACATCAGTATTCAAAAATTAAGGAAAGTTTACAAATTCTAATATTATTGCTGAATAAAGAAATTAAGAAAATTTACAAATTCGAATATTATTGCTGGATAAAGAAATTCTGTATAATTTTTTTATTGTTCCAATTCAACATTGAAAATTAAAAAATTTCCAAATTCTATTATTGTTTTTAAAAATTATTATAGATAAATAAATTATATGAAAAACAAGTCATCAAGACAAGATTTAGATGAGAAGTTGACTTCCTTATACTGGTTTGTGGTTCAAAACGAAGAAGAAGAAGTCGTTTCATGAGATTTTGAGAGAATTCAGGAGCTCGCTAGAGAAATTGGAGTTGATATCAAGTTGTGGTTTAGTTGGAGTTATAAATTCTGAATTGATGAGAGCAGATCTCACGGTGTAAAGAATCAAGTCTTGATAAATTTTAGAAAGGCTTCTTGTCTGTCAAAAGCGAAAAAAAAAGGAGGCAAATTGAGATTCAGTTGGTTTATTGGTAATGGTCGTGACATTGAGGTTGATCGAAATTGCAAGGTTCAGATTATTTTTGCTTCACTGGTTTTCACAATCGAGAGTCGAAGGAGAATAAATGAAAATCAGAGAGAAAGGGAGAGAGATTAGGATTCATCTTCTTCCACGGATATCAATCCAAGTCCCATATCAAAAAATTAGACCAATATAATCTAGTATATAAGCAAGATGTCCAATAGATTAGTATGATGCTTTTTGGGAAAGAGCTCAAAAACAAATCCGTGCGGGCTTTGCCACTTGGGCCCAAAACGGACAATATCATACTAATAGGGAGTTGGACATGAGCTTGAAAAAGCCCAATAATTGGTATCCTTTCAAGCGCAATAATTGGTATCCAAGCGAGGTTCTAGAAAAAGTGGACCTCGACAAGTGGGTGTGAGCTATCTGTTCGGTGTGGGAGGATAAGCCTTCAAGGTGACCTTGTGATTAGGGTACTGGTACCTTATGTCGAAAGTATTCTCCTAACAGTGCGCGAAGGGTTAGGTTAGGCGATACAAGATGGGTGCCAAGTTTCGCAAAAGGTTAGAAGGCCACAGATTTGTGTGGTTCTTGGTTTGAGGGGAGGATTGTTGGGATATCAATCCAAGTTTCACATCGGAAGATTAGACAAAAAGTATCTAATATATAAGCAAGATGTCTAACAGATTAGAATGAGGCCTTTTGGGAAAAATCAAGATTTCCAAAAATAAATTCGTGCGAGTTTTGCCATTTGGCCCAAAACAGACAATATCATAATAATAGGGAGTTGGATATGGGCTTTTCCAACACCCATAATGTTAGATTTTCAGAATTTGAGATTCGCATCAGGAGATAAAGTCTACTTTCTTTTGTTGGACTGGAAATATAGAGATAAGTACAAGTTGGGGTTTATCCTTCAAGTATCTCTATGATGATACAGTTTTCATTTCTTGGAGAATTCGTAATTTCACGTGGAGGAATCAGTTGACAGTCTTTCAACGGTGGAAAAGCATCAAGGTGGAGAAGATGACTTTTCTAGACAAACAAAATTTACAGGCATCGGACGTTGGTGTTAATGGACAGATGTTGTAGCAGTGATCTTCATGAAGTTATAAGAAGAAATTTCTCACCAGTGAAAGGTTTTTGCAAGATTCCTCAGCCAGCTTTGATGTCTCAGAAGAATTTCTGCTGAGCCATGGAGATTTCACTGCAAATCAAGTTTTGACGTTTTTTTCTGGTTCTGATTGGGTTGATGTTATTAAGATATATCAAATCATATCTTTATAATTTCTCCCTCAATTACTCCTCTGTAATTTCTCCGTCAATTACTCCTTTACTAATTGCTGTCTATATGCTTTCTTATTCTCTCTTCCTTTTTGTGTATATAAGAAGAGATGTATCATATTAATAAAATCATCTAATTAAATACTTGAATATGGTATCAGAGCAATGCTCTTAGACTTAAATTCCCAATTTCTTCTTCCCCAATTTCTTCTTCCTGTCTCTTTCCGTCTCAGCTCTTCTTCAATTTCTTTTTTTTTTTTTTTTACTCTCGTCTTCCTCTCATAATGTTTTTTACAACTCCCACTTCTGTCGAAAACACATCTGTGTTCAATGCTCAAAATCCACAGAGTACTCTCTTGTCTGTTAACATGTCGAGTGTTACTAAACTCACAAATCTAAATTATTTGATGTGGCAAAAACAGGTTTGGATTTTTGGAGAAGTCAGATACCGATCCTCAACCAACGGTCACCGTCAATGGTCAATCTGCCCCAAATCCTGACTTTGCTCCATGGCGGAGGCAAGATCGGCTTCTCTATAGCGCAATTATTGGGGCAATTTCAATGCCGCTACAATCTGTTGTCTCAAGCGCCACCACCACCGTCGAAGTATGGAGCATCCTCACTACCACATTTGGAAAACCAACTCGTGGACATCTCCGTCAACTCTGATTCCAGATCAAATCGTGTGTGAAAGGCACAAAATCAATCACTGAATACCTCAGGATCATGAAAGCTAAGGCGGATGAATTAGCCACTCTCAGTAAGCCCATGGACCAAGAAGATCTCACTGAGGACATCCTTGCTGGTCTCAGCGAGGAGTACAAACCCAAAATCGATGCTATCAATGGTAGGGATTAACCAATTTCCTTCGCAGAGCTCCATGAACGTTTGTTGAACTGCGAAGCCATGCTTCTGTGCACAGAATCAACTTCTGTTGCGCCTATTGTTGCTAATGCTACCGAACCTCAAAACCGTCAAACATGGAAATCAAATCAGAACCAGACCAATCGCCATTTTCCCAACCAGAATTTCAGAGGCAATCAGAATCAGACTCGTAATGGATACAAGGGTCGATGTCAAGCTTGTAGGATACAAGGCCATAGTGCTAAGTATTGTCCTGACTTTTGTATCATTCGTGGTCAACACTCCCAAGCATGGCAACCTCCTCAGTCCTTCCAGCAGTCTCCTCAGCCGTGGCAATCACCACAACAACATCAATCGTGGCAGCCAAGAGCAAATCCAGCAATCATGTCGGACTCCTCCACCTGGCTCGTTGACACTGGTGCTTCACACCACATGACGTCTGATCTCAGTAATCTTGCGCTTCACAATCCTTATCAAGGTGGTGATGATGTGATGCTTGGAGATGGCTCGGGATTACAGATTTCACACACTTGTTCTTTATCAATACCCTCTTATATTCGTCCTTTTTTCTTAAATAATTTTCTTTGTGTGCCATCACTTGCTAAGAATCTTATATCTGTTTTTCAATTATGCACAACTAATGGTTGTTTCGGTTACATTTACTCCTACCTACTTTCAGGTGAGAGATCTACAAACGGGAATTCTTCGACCGGAAGGCAACCCTAAAGACGGCACATACGAGTGGTCGATCTCTAGCTCTTCCACTCGTCCATCTCTTGCTTTTGCTTCTTCAACTAAAACAACCATGTCTGATTGGCACTCTAGATTAGGCCACTCAGATTTTCCTATTTTAAAAATAATAATTTCAGAATTTGATTTACAACTTTCCTCAAACGTTTTACTGGATAAGCCTTGTAATGCTTGTTCAATCAATAAAATTTATAAGTTACCTTTTACTTCGTCTTCCATTCAATCAAAACATCCTCTTGATATTATTTTTTCTGATGTGTGGATTTCTCCCAAGATTTCAATCTATGGTTTTAAATATTATGTTCTTTTTGTTGACCATTTTACTAGATACACTGGCTGTATCCTTTAAAACAAAAATCCCAAGTTTTTGATGTTTTTACAAAGTTTAAAACATTGGTTGAAAACCAATTTCAAAACAAAATAAGAACTTTATTTACGGACAATGGTGGTGAGTATATTGGACTTAGACAGATTTCTTTCGAGTCATGGTATATCTCACTATACTACTCCACCTCACACGCCGGAACACAACGGACTTGCTGAGCACCATCACCGACATATAGTCGAAACGGGTCTTGCTCTTCTATCTCATGTTTCGATGCCTTGGTCATATTGGACCTATGCATTTACAATGGCTGTGCACTTAATAAATCGTATGCACACTCCTACTCTTGCTTTTAAATCTCCATTTCAAAATATTTTGGCTGTGATCCAAATTTTCAAAAGTTACGTGTTTTTGTTTGTCTTTGTTTTCTTTGGCTAAAACCTTATGCATCACACAAACTTGATACTCGTTCATCACATGTGTATTTCTAGGATATTCTAATACACAAAGTTCATATTTTTGTCTTGACCGAGAAACTAATCGTATTTACACTTCTCGTCATGTTTTCTTCCATGAATCTGTATCTCCCTTTCAAGTTTCAGGTTCCATCACCGCCACTTCCGCACCCCTTGACGAATCAGATCTGGTGCCAGACTCAACTCCTACTGGTGCTATCATTCCTCTACCTCAAATGACAACCTCATTGCCCACATCATCAATGACAAATGCAGAAATAAATTCTTCACCATATGTTATTGCTGAAGACTCCATACCATCATCAAACACACCACAAACTGTCAGCTCAAGCCAAATAACCAATGTTCCCAATCCAAATCTGCAACCAAGTCCTGAAGTACAAGCCATTCAACAACCGCAAACTATGACACCACCACCAGTACCACATCGAACAAGCAACCGACAACGCAAACCAGTCCAAAAACTCAACCTCCATGCTGCTGTTATCCCACAGTCGGAAAAACCACCCACCACCATCGCACAAGCTCTCAAAGATCCTCGATGGCGCAAAGCAATGCAAGACGAAATCGATTCTTTTACTCGCAATCATACTTACGATTTAGTCTCACCTGAAATGGCTTCTAATGTTGTAGGTTGTCGGTGGGTTTTCACAATTAAATGTCTACCTAATGGTGCAGTTGACAGGTTCAAGGCTAGGCTCGTCGCTAATGGTTTTCACCAACGACCGGGAATCGACTTTCACGACACATTCAGTCCGGTTGTCAAACAAGCAACAATCCGGCTAGTATTTAAGCTTTGATTGGTAACTTTGCGGAATGGCGGAATTGCGGAAAAAATCTTGCGGAATAGATTAAGCGACTTATAAGTCGCTTTTCTGCGGAATGACTTTTTCTTTGTATTTTTGTTAAGCAAAAACGCAGTCTGCGTTTTTGTGTGTATTTTTTCATTACGCGGATTTTTGTTGATTGGCAAAAAACCTGTGGAATTGTGTTTAAAAACGCAATTCCGCCATTTCACAGGTTACCAATCAGAGCCTTAGTGTCTCTGTCTCTCGTGGCTGGCCTCTTAGACAGTTGGATATCAACAATGCTTTCCTTCAAGGGAAATTAGAAGACAAAGTGTATATGATCCAACCACCAGGCTTCTATGATCCTGCGAATCCAACAGAAATTTGCAAGCTACACAAAGCGATTTATGGCCTCAAGCAAGCTCCTAGAGCTTGGAACAATGAGCTGCGAAATTTTCTTCTCTCCGGCTTCACCAACTCGCTTGCTGATGCTTCTTTATTCATCTACAATCAGAATGGTGTTCTTCTTTACATGTTGGTGTACGTTGATGATACAATCATCACGGGAAACAACATGGCTCACCTCAACCGCTTTATACTCTCTCTCTCAACTCGTTTTTCTCTTAAAGATTTTGGCGACCTCTCTTACTTCCTTGGAATTGAGGTCCACTGCAATGCTTTTGGACTTGTATTAACTCAAACTCGTTATATTGCAAATCTTCTTCACAGGACCAAGATGACTGACGCCAAAGCAATGCCCACACCGATGTGTCCAAAAATTGTTCGCACACTCCAAGGAGACGATCATTTACCTAATGCAACTAAATTTCGTGCTGTCATTGGGAGTCTGCAATATTTGTCTCTCACAAGACCAGATATCTCTTATGCTGTTAACAAGCTATCGCAGTTTATGCACCACCCCACAAAAGTTCACTGGTCGGCTGCAAAACAAGTACTCAGATACCTTTTTGGAAAGACTACTACAGGAATCCAACTCAAAGCAAACAACCCACCATCTCTTCATGCCTTCACCAACGCAGATTGGACGGGAAACAGAGATGATTACACATCTACAGGTGCTTATATAGTTTACTTTGGTAAACATCCAATTGCATGGTTATCAAAGAAGCAAAACGGTGTTGTACGCTCATCGACGGAAGCAGAATATCGATCTGTTGCCTCAACTACCTCAGAGGTTTGCTGGATTGTTTCTCTGCTAAGCGAACTGGGCATCAAAATCACCAACACGCCTGCCATATATTGTGACAACAAAGGCGCCACCTACCTTAGTGTCAACCCAGTTTTCCATTCACGAATGAAGCATATTGCTTTAGACTATCACTTTGTGCGTCAACATGTCCAATCCGGCAATGTACGTGTGACTCATGTCTCCTCAACAGACCAGTTAGCCGATGCATTAACAAAACCACTCTCACGGGCTCGGTTTCAGAATCTGTTTGTCAAGATTGGTCTCACCTTCAGTGCTCCATCTTGAGGGGGCGTATTAAGATATATCAAATCATATCTCTATAATTTCTCCCTCAAATTATTCTTCTGTAATTTCTCCGTCAATTACTCCTTTAATAATTGCTGACTATATGCTTTCCTATTCTGTCTTCCTCTTCGTGTATATAAGAAGAGCTGTATCATATTAATAAAATCATCTAATTACACACTTCAATAGATGTCAGTGATGTCACCACTGCACCATCGTGATAAAAATAGAAGTTCTTGTAGATTGGGTCTAAAATTGAAGCACAAAGGATTTAATGACAAGATGGGCTGAGTAAATTTTTTTGAGTCTGGGCCCAATCAGGCTCTAAGCTATGGTCAGTGGCGGAGCTAGAAAAAAAAATTACGGGGTCAATTTTAGTTTATAATGTACTATGAAGAAATTTTACAGGGGTCATATAAATAAATTATCAATATTTTATCTTTTTTTTATAAAAATACAAGTATATATAAAAAAAATTTGTATTTCACCTGAGTCATTTGACCCCTCTCCTAACATGCTCCCTCCGCCACTGGCTATGGTGTGTTTTAAGCTTAGTTGCAGCAGCCAAACACTGAATCCACACACACAACAAAAACAAAAACAAAACCATTTTTTGGGTTAATCCTATGATGGAAGAACACATTGATACAAATCCATGCATTTTGCTGAGTCTAAAGAAAAGTTCTATTTGTTGGATTTTTAAAGTCCTTTTTTTTTTCATTTCATGGTTAAGCGACTTGAGTTTTTATTTCATTCTATTTTTTTGTTGCGTAGAATGCAAAGAATTTGAGTAAGTTATACATTTCTGTTGGATTTTTATCATTGCATTGTGTTGAGACTCGGTTAGGTTTGTAAATTACAGATGAGAAGCTCAAAGCTCTCTCCACGGAAACTTGATGAGCTTTGTGTTCTGTTACTCATACTTAGAGTCCCGAAACTGGACATGAGTCGTCTTCCCTTCAGTCAGTTTTCCAATTACCTACATGTTGAAACCATTAGAGATAATTACAATAAAAACATCCTTAAAATTCATCTCAATGGTTTAGTGACTAAAGATGCTATCTTTAACATAAAACACACACACACAAAAAAAAAAAAAAAGAGGAGAGAGTTCTCACAAAAGAGAGGCATTGATCATCAAGATACACTAGCACGACAACATCATGCACTGAAGAATAAATTTAACAAGAGTTCTATATCTCAATAGCAACTTGAAATCCCTTTCTGAGCCTCTAGTGCCACCAAACCGGATGTGGTAGCTAACCGAATTAGTTTGTTGATTTATAATTGAGTTTGGTCTAAATATTATTTAATAATTGAGTTTAGTATGTTAAGTCTGTATGTGAAATGGTGTGTGTGAAAAGGTGTGTATAAAAAAATGTGTGTGTGAAAAGGTGTGTATAAAAAAGTGTGTGAAATTGTATGTTTTAGAGACATGTCTATTAAGTAAAAATAGTTATTTATACTAAGAGTTATAAGGAAAGGCAAAAAAGATCACAACAGTAATAAGGAAAAGCAAAAAAAAAATATCTAAGAGCATGATTATTGCTATTACCCTTAATGGGTTTCTTGTGATTATTTAATTAATTGATTTGTGGCAAGAAACTATTAAACGAAACTATGTTTTTTTAATGGTCTATTGGGAGAAATCTACATAGGTTTTTTGTAACAAAAAAATAAATTATTTTTTTGTAATGAAAATAAAGATAATTATTTAGATTATTACATTATTAAATCAAAAACAACACAAACAACACAAACATACATTTGAAATGTAAACTTAAATTTTGCAATAAAACTTAATTTTCTGCTTCAGTACGTCCCAAATTTTTGCTAGATATGCTCCAGCAAATCAGCTTGCAATCGATCATGCTGTGGTTTATCCCGAATATCATTTCGAGTACCCATCATATCAGCAATGTTAGAGGGCATATCCGTTGAATACGAGAGATCCACAGTTAAACTTCTGCTTCCTTCTTCATGTTCAAAATCTGAAAGATCAAAATGTTTGTATCATTCTCGTTCGTCTTCTACTATCGTATTGTGAAGTATGATACAAGCCCTCATAATCTTTCCTATTTTTGCTTTATCCCAAAAAAGAGCGGGAATTTTAATAATGGCGAATCAAGCTTGTAAGACTCCAAAAGCATGTTCGGCATCTTTTCGGGCACTTTCTTGACGTTCAGCAAATAAACATGACTTTGGATTTTCTGGAGATGGTATAGATTGGACAAAAGTTGTCCATTTTGGATAGATACCATCTCTGAGATAGTATGCTAACTTATACTCCCATCCGTTGACATATAAATTCACTCTCGGAGTTTTACCTTGTATTATATCATCAAAAATAGGTGAGCGATCAAGAACATTGATATCATTTAAGGTACCTGGGGGTCCCAAAAACGCATGTCATATCACAGATCATATGAAGTTACTGCCTCTAAAACGATAGTGGGTTTTCCTGAACTACATGTATACTGACATTTCCAAGCGGTTGGACAATTCTTCCACTCCCAATGCATACAGTCAATGCTTACTATCATTCCAGAAATTGATTGGTAAACTTTGATTGGTACCAAAGTTTGATTGGAAGAAGGAAGAGAATGGAAAGAGAGAAGAAGTATAGAGAACAAGTTTGATGTTTTTTGGTTTAGACAGAACTTACGATTAAAAGAGAGAAGAAGTATAGAGAACAAGAAGAATATATGATACAAGAAGTGCTCATCATCTCTCTATAAATAAACGTCTACAAACTTAGACATGTGGTGTCAAATAGATTTACATTTGGTGGTCTCAAAATTAGATGCAAACTTTGTGGTCTGTGAACAAAAAAAGAAAAGACAAGACAATACTGAATAAAGACTTGTGACACTCGTTTGGTGTTTTGTGCCCACTCCTATTCAATAATTGTTCTCCGCCGAGTGGAAATGCTGTCACACACATCTTTTATCTGAAACACACAAAAAAAGAACAACCATAATGAGCTGTCAACAAAAGCAAAGTTCATACTTAAAACAAAAGTTCATCATCTTTAGTTAATCATTTTAAGCTCATCATGTAAGCTCATACGTAAAGCTCATTATCTACATTCATAGTTAATCATTTTAAGCACATCATCATCTTAAAGCAAAGACTAAAAAGAGCATAGTTGATAGATAAAGAACATTCAATTACTTAACTGAAACACATAAGTTCATAGATATAGAACATAAAGAACAACCACATTCAAAAACAATCTAAAACCGAAAGATCAACTTAAGAGAAGCACTTAACCGAAACTTAAAGGTTTAAAGGTAAACATAAAATTAAGCTTAAACATTAACTTGAAAAGAGGAAGATTCTAAAACAGCTCAGTAATGAGTTTCTTCTTAAGATCTTCCTCATAGTCTGATAGTGGCCCTTGCTTGGCTAAAAGGCATTCAAGTATACCCATCTTCTTGATATTTGCCTTCATTGCCAAGTCTTTCTCTTGAATTTGCCACACTGCTTGTAACTTCTCCAATGGTTCTTCTTTCTCTATGGCAACCTTCTTAGCCTTGGCTTTTGATGCCTTAACACCTGCTGGTCGCTTGCTTACATTATCTTCCTCACAAAGCTGGGTTTCCTCAGCACCCAACCATCTAACCCTCTTTTTTTTTTTTGAGTTTCCAGCGGCTTTGTGTGTTGAAAGCTCTGACCATTTCTGATCATTCTTGAGCTCATACCAAGCATGTTCTAAAGTGAACTTTTTTTTTTGTGATTGTTGTAGAAGATCTCATGAGCCATTTTGAGAATATCATTCTCACTCTGACCACTGGCTCTCTCTCTGCAAGCTGCTGCGTATGCTCCACAAAATTTGCAGACTTGATCATTTATTTTCTGCCACCTCTGTTTGCATGGTATGGACTCTATCTTTTCACGTCCAGCAGACTTTAGAGAAGCTGAAAAGAAGGCGGCTATGCGCTTCCAAAATGCTGTTGATTTTTGTTCATTCCCCACCACAGCATCCTTGCCCGTGTTTAACCACGAGCTGATGAGCAAAAGGTCATCACTCGGGCTCCACTGCCTTCTTTCCTTCTTTTCCGTTGCAGGTGATGCTTCACCGAAGGATGCATCATACAGAGGAGTTTCTTCTTGAAGACTTGAGGCGTATCCGCAGAAGACTGAATCTTGTTGACTGTTCAACAGTTCAACAAAGTTGGAGGATGGGAAAGATGGACCCGAAGAAGGGAAAGCCATATGGTATGAGGAAGAGGTTAAAAAAAGATAAAATGAAAGAGATGAAGCACAAAGCAAGAGAATGTGATTTTTTGAAGAGGAAGAAAGAGAAGCACGAACTGAGAAGAAGGAGAAGCTCAAAATGAGATAAGGAAGCAATGAGAAGATGTTCAGAAAGAGAGGAAGCACACGCTTTAAAAGAAACCCATAAAGCATTCAAGCACAATACAAAAATCAAAGTAACATTGAAGGAAGAAAAGCAAAAACGTTTTGCAGCATTCAAGCACATTTATTATCCTAAACCAACCATTACTCAACCATTAATATACACTAAAGCAAAAAGAGATTTATTGAGGTGACATATATCTACAGCATTCAACCAGTTCACTCAACCATTTCTATTTACTCAACCCCTCCATCTCTTACACAGAATCGGCATTTATCTAACTAGCCATTAATTAGCATCAACCAGACTTGAAGACTAACCTAAACAGCTTCTTTAGGTTGTAAAACCTTTGTTACGAGCAAACCGAAGAGGAACAGCTAGAGATAGACCTTTGAACCAAGATGAATCTGCAAAAATAATGAACCATGAACCATTGAACCATCGACAGATAGATACACGATCATGAACCATGAACCATTGTAAAGTTTTCCAAACACAAAACCTACCATTCAAGAACCATTAACGAGATAGAAAAACATAAGCTAAAGAGATAAACGATCATGAACCATTAACCATTAATAAGAACCATTAACGACCACCATTAACTTTAGCTAAAGAGAGAGAAAGACATAGATCATGAACCATTAACGATTTACAACCTTTGAACCATAACCGTTTATAGATCAAAGAGATTTCACTAAATGGCAGATCTATTCAAGAACCATCAACCATTTACAACTCATCAAATCCAAACACATCATCATTCATAAAACATCATCAATTCATCACTATCTCTTGGATGCAAGGTTTACCAAAATCTATAAGAGAGATAGAAAGACATAGATCAGCATGAAAATTAATTCACTCGTTTGCAGTTTTTGACTAAAGGGTTTATGGAAGAAGAACCATTTACCATTCACAACTCATCAAATCCAAACACATCATCATTCAGAGTAAATCATCAATTCATCGATCCTAAAACAATTTCAGATAATATATAGAAACTACATGCAAAATGGAGATATCATTCAACTCTGATGAAGATTCACAAACTAAAAAAATCGATCCATAAACTAAAATTTAGCATATCTAATCCATGCAAATCTAGAATAAAAATCAAAAAAGAAGATGAAGAGTAAAGGACAGATTCTCTTATCTGTAAATTCGATGGACAAGACGATGAAGCTTCTGCATATCGGCGCCGTAGAAGACGACCATCGCGACGGAGATCGAAGCCGGAGAGGATGGCGGATGAAAAGAGAGATGTGGTTCAGCGTCGGTGATTTTTGTCTCCAGATAAAAAGGTCGACGATTCTGTGACCCCAAAAACATTATCACCGAGACTTTTTTTTGGCCAATCAGAATGTGCCACATGCACAGGAAGGATCGTTTCTACAAGTACCACAATAATAAGGAGCGATCCTAGTAATTTTGGGCTTTTTAAATTTATTTTTAATTGAAAAAGGCCACTAGAAACTAGCAATAAAAATAGTCTAATAAAATGAATACATGTTTCCGATGTAATTCTTCTAGTTCCCTTTCCCAGCTGCAATGAAAGATAGTGCATGACCTGGAGATAAAACAACTTCCTCCTTGATCACCCTGAGCACATATATCCCGGTAAAACAAACCACACTGAGAGAGCTTACATGCATTGTATGTGTCTTTCCACTGCTTGTAACACCATAAGCAAAAACGGTTCCTGCCAAATTGTCAACACATTGTCAGAAAATTCCCTGCAAGCATTGCCATTAGCAAATGAGTTGGGTCTAAAGGTACACTCTTACCATTAACACCTTCCATTGCTGCCTTGACTACAGGTTTTGCAGCTACGTCATAAACCTCTATAGTTGTTGCTTGTGGTCCAAAAACTTTATATGGCATCAATAAATTTTGGAAGAACGTTTATTGAACCAACCGAGGCTACCAGAAGTCTAATTAATGAACAGTAAATTGATATCATCTCCGCAATTAAATTCATCTCAATACCGAATTCGTAAGCAGTGAAGGGGTTGTACTCATTGCTGACCATTTTATCCGCGTCAGGATACCAAGCAATCTCATCTCCTCTTTGATACTCTTCTCTCTCTCTGGCTGCAATCAAACAAATAATGGCGGAAAATTGACTGAGTTTCAAATTCCAAATTCACATTCCATCAATCCCAACCTTGTAAATTTGATTAGTCGTGAAATTGTATCCAATAGATCTGCTATTCCGAGCCCAGATCTACCGTACCTCATCGGAAGAAACGGAACAGTGATTAACTCGCTGAACTCGGCGACTCGGTTTCCGAATCGATGAAAATCTGAGGAAGTAAGAATCAAGCGAAAACCACCAAATTTGAAGATGCATGGAAACTGTCAGAGGAAGCTCAGATGGCTGGGGACAGAAAAAGCATTATGCTCTTCTTCTTCTCTCTCTTTACTCTCTCTCTCTCTTTACTCTCTCTCTCTCTTTACTCTCTCTCTCTTTCTCTCTACCCTACTTTTCCATGCGATTGTGAGAAAGAGATAATGAGACCACAAGCCGAAGCGATTGATTCGTCTTCTTCACGCGACGGTGGTGAAGAGAGAGAGGGATCGTATTGAAGACATTTTTTTTGTGGTGAAGGCGTCCATTGTTTTTTCAGATTTGAATTTCAATTAACATAATGTTTTTCTATCTGGCGCGCTCAAAACCATTTCAAGGGTTGAACGAGGTCGAGGACTGAAAATAACCGCGAACCAGATTAAATGATTTTTGAAATCATAGAAAGAGCCCTTTAATTGTTTGTACTTTATACATTTGGTTCCGGCTCAACAACCAAACCAAAGAGAACCAAAATCCTAAGTGAAATTCTACCCATATATAACAGATAATGACAGCCTAATTGCACCATGATAGCATGACCCCTTTATTCTGAATATGCAACGCAAAACTGAATCGTGTTTGAAATCATGTTCGTAAACGTCATCAGCTGACGACAAGGAACACGATTCTGACTACAAGGAACACGTATATGAATACCCATATCAGGTTCGTAAACGTCATTGTCGTCTTCCTGTTCACCTTCTAGATTGGGACCAATAAGAGGTTCTTCAACGTCTTGGAACAGATACTGGAAAATCTTCATGTTACCAAACCTGAAACATCAAACATTAAGTACATATCGCCCAAGAAATAGATGAAAGTTAACTAAAATTTTTGGAACAAACCTGTCTCCGCTGTAATTGAACTGTTTTATCAATGATCCACTCTTCAAAACATTCAGCGTAGTTGATCTTCCACAAATTTTGGCGATCCTGAAACCTTACACGGCGTTTCAAATGTACTACAGCTGGCGGATGAGAAGCGAAATTCTCTGTTGGTTACTTAGTTTCACAAAATCATCTCGTTTCGCAAATAAAATAATTTTATAATTTGATAATTTTAAAACTTTAGTAAAATTTAGATCGCAAATGAAATAATTTTTACTTAGATAAAATATCTATATTTTCAAAATAGATTGATTCATGAATTTTTTCTTTTTTTTTAAAGGATTGAGTCGTGAATAAACGGAGTAAGAAATTATAGCTAAGTTCATTCAACTACCTAAACATAGATGTGTTTCAGATTCTCAAATCATAGTTTTGGCAAGATTTGCCATTGGTTTGTTGGAGAAACCAAAATTTGTGCAGTTTTTGTTTACTGCATGCAATATTAAAAATTTGGATGAAAATAAAAATTTAAAGTTTTTTTTATTTAATAAATGGTAATGAAATAGAGATCGGCAGCATCGATCAAAACCAAAACAAATTCGCAGTTGGATGAATCCGACAATAAAATAGAAGTCGTTTTTGAATATGGACTATGTTTCCTGATCAGGTCAGGCAAATGCATTTTCATTGTGATTATCAGCTAATAAACTTTTGATATCATCTTCTATACATATATACTCTCTTTTATATATATTCTTTCTTTAAATTTGGTTTGATAATTTTTGAGTCTATACTTTTTTTTATGAACAAATACAAAGTTCTCACAATTATGTAAATCAATCAAGATTCTTTGATTATTTCAACACTAAAATATCCAATATATAGGTTTAGATTATTGATGAGATGATTTGTACATAGATTACTATCTAAAGTTTTAAAGCGGATTGAATCAAGAATGTGGGAGATATAAGGAATGTTTTTTGTTAAAATAATATTTTTTGGTAGTCAAACTATTCAAAACCAACCGGTTTACTGATGTGAAAACAAAAATTAACATGGTTATCTCAAAACTATCAACAAATAGGTGACAAGAATTCCATACTCTGTTAGTTTTCATGATAATTATGTAAATCATTCAAGTTTCTTTGATTATTTAACCATTCTAAAAAGCTTAATATGTTTGAGTTGTGGATTAGATAATTTGTACAGAGATAAAGTAATATCTAAGATTTCAAATCGGATTAAGTAATGAATTACTGGAAAATTTTGATAGAGGGTTTTTTCTGTTGTTGTTGTCAAACTAATCAGAAACTAACTGACTTACTGATGTTAAAAGAACACTGATATAAAAACAATAATTAATTTGATGTATCTAATAATCATCAAGTATGACAAGATTCAATGCTCGATTATAGTCTTTATAATTCTGTAAATCATTCAAGTTTGGATCGTGGATGGGATGATTTGTACTTAAATAAAATATTAAAGATTTCAAAGTAGATTGAGCCGGAGATAAGTTTGTTAGAATATTATTTTTTGAGGTAAAACTAATCAGAAAACTGACTTACTGATGTGAACAAAATTTAACATGGCTTCCTCTAAAAAATTATCAAATAATGACAAAAATTCTATGTTAGTTTAGTTTTCATAACTATGTAAATTATTCAAGTAATTTTCATAAAATCGATACTCCCTCCGTTTCACAAAAAGTGTCGTTTTAAAGTGTTACTTTTGTTTCACAAAGAGTCGTTTTATATTTTCAATGCAAAATTGTAAACAATATTCCAGTTTTAACCCTATTAATTTAATGTATTTACTTGATAAAAACAAATCATTTAATGTATCAATAAGGGACAAAGTTGTACTTTTAATAATTTTCTTAATATGTGTGAAAAATGTCAAAATAATATTCTTTATGAAACGGAGGGAGTATTATTTTAAAAGCTTTAATAAAATTTGGATCGCAAATGAAATAATTTGTATTTAGATAAAATATCTATAATTTCAAAATGAATTGATTCATGAATGTTTTTTTTTTTTGTTAAAGGAAGTAATAAATTAATTTTCTTAGAAGATTTTTATTGTTGGCAAACCAATTAGAAAACTGACTGGCTTACTGATGTGAAAAAAAAAATTATCATGGTATATTATCTCTAAAAATCATCTAATAATGACACGGCTCTATGCTTGATTAATCAGTTTCACAATTTATTCAACTTTTATAAATTTGGCAACCTACAGACAACAAATCTGTTTTAACAATCTATAATCATTTTCGCTGCCAAAAGAAGAAAATTAAACAAAATTCATTTTTAATTAGCCAATTAAAGGTAGGACTAGGTCAAATTCAAAAACCAGCTTTTGTTTATGTGGTTGTCGTCGTCTTTAATTCTCCCTTTTTTCTTCTTTTCTCTTTGACAACCAAAACACACAAAACCAGTGTCCCCGTCCATTCACTCCCTCGTAATCACACATATACACACACACGAACAAGAAGCCATTTTGTTTCCACACAAATTGGACAACAATGGAGCCGAAAGAGAATGGCTCAGATCATAAGCAATTGGGTCGGGTCATCGACGGAACCACTAACCCGATGGTCACACCTTTGCTCAACGATCTTTACCAGTTCACCATGGCTTACGCTTATTGGAAAGCCGGCAAACACAACGAACGATCCGTGTAATCATTCTCATACTTCTTTTTCTGAATCATCAATCCTCCCACGATTTTGAATTTGATTGTTTTGTTTTTATTGGCGCTTCTAGCTTTGATCTGTATTTTCGTAAGAACCCATTTGGTGGTGAGTATACTGTGTTTGCTGGGTTAGAAGAGTGTATCAAGTTCCTCGCCAATTTCAAATTAACCGATGAAGAGATCGATTTCGTTCGTGATTCATTACCTGGATCTGAGGTATCAAAAACGAGTGTTGTTTTACAATTTTTAATCGATTCGATTTCTTGTGTTGTTGTTTCAATTTGGGTTTCATGTTTATGATTCAAATTAGGAAGCTTTCTGCGATTATCTTAGAGGGCTTGATTGTTCTGATGTTGAAGTGTATGCAATTCCTGAAGGATCAGTTGTTTTCCCTAAAGTACCTCTCATGAGAGTT